AAAAGAAAAACTATTTTTGGTTTGATATTTTCAGACAAAATCATTGCATATCCTTGCCTTAAAATTGCCATATACTTTGTACTATGCATGCTGCATTTTCGCAAGTCATGAAATATCCATCTACATGTATAATAGCTTGTATTCACAGAATTGACCATTTCCATGAACTATATCATAATTCCAGTTGGACTTCCAGTGGACTTCATTCTTTTGAATTAAAATTATGTCAAAATTAAGTAAATGATAGATTTTCTGATGAATAAGCGGATGGAGCAGTACCATTTATTATAGGTACTTGAAGACGGAATAAAAGAAATACTCCACTAAACATATAGTGGGATATTTTATGAATTATTTTTTCAATGGTATACATGATAAATAACTGTACTGAATATAATTTTTGACCATTTTTAACTTTCATAAATTCAAGCTTTAGATATTTCCCAGATAAATTATTTCACTCGAGGATTATTTGTGGATGATCCATGTTAAATATGGCATCCTCGGGACTGAAAATGGCTTATGACCTAAATATCAAAATTTCACCTCTCCGGACTTACATCAGTATAATATACAAATATGAATTTGTTTTTATATTAAGGATTTAGTGCATACAATAGGGAACAATAAGGATAAGGAAAATGAGCGAAATCTAAATTATCTCCAAATAAAAATATCATGGATTTATTGGGGGATTATTGTATACAAATGAATATTTATCTTACAGAAGACATGAAATTTTATCGTCAATTTATTTACCATTTAAGGTTCATCATCCTTCTGATCACTCATATTTTTTCCTTTGATGCTAAAGATCATCCCAGTGAGAGTTATCTCTCTTAACAGAGGGTCAAAGAACCTTAAGTAATTCTATATTATAATAATGAAATTAAATTTTCGACAGAAACTTAAATTTATACAGAATATTTTTCACGTCTTAAGTTACTTTGACTCTGATCTCTAACGAAATTTTAAGGCTATATACCATTTAACCACAGGAAGACTTTTTATTAAAATACAAAAATAAATAAATAAATAGATAAATAAATACATGTACGATTATTGCTTTGGAGATTTTTTTTTTTTTTTTTTGGTATAAAGACGCATTTATTCCATAAATAGTTAAATATATTTTTTTCTATTGCTTGTATTTAAAAGTCATTTATTTTGTTAAGTGAATGTATTGTCTCTTTTTTGTGATCGGCTTCACGGCTTTGGCCGATCACATGTAAGGCATCCGGCAAATATTACCATGTGCGCACACATGACGCGACGGAGTACTTTGTTTACCATGCACTGACAGCTTCGTGTACATTTATCATAACATAAAATACAAATGATCATTTTATGCAATTTCTTTGAGATGCATACATATAAATAGTTGCATAGTGAATATGCTTACGTTTTGTCCATGTAACACTTCCCAATCACTACCTCTAAATTGAGCACTTAAATATTTTTTTTATCTCATCTATGCTATAAGATCAAGTGAGTTATTTTGAACACATGTTGTCCGTTTGTTGGTCTATCTATCTGTTTATCCGTCCGCTTTCAACTTGAAACATTTTCGACTTCTTCTAAAAAATCTCTTAGAAGGAAGGGGGGGGGGGGGTGGTTGTCAAAATTGTTAAAATGAAGGATCATGTCCAGAGTTCGATGGTGTCAGCCATAACTCTTCAACCCATGGTTCAAATGGAATCAAACGCAAATATGTTGCTGCTCAAAAAAAAAAAAATGTATCTAGACCTGAATTTGAAACCTCAAAATTTTGTAGTCCATGACATTAATTTGTGTCATTAAATGTCATGCCAAGATTGTTTCGAAGCCACGATAAAGGTTAACAGATGAGCAAGGGGAAATCTCTTTTCTTTTCTTTTCTTTTTTTTTTTTTTTTTGTTATGAAAACAACAGTTAGTTATATTTGTTGTTTTGTTATGAAAACAATATTTGTCGCTGATTTCAATTTCCTTTCACGACTCCATCTTTCTAATAATTATAGATTTATCTTTCGACAAACATCGTTGTTTGTGCCAGTCTCGAGACTTATAAATTTACATATACAAACTAATCATGTCTGCCAAATTAAGCTCTTCTGCGAGAAGTCTAAGAAATGAATATTTAAGGATGAATCACGTCTGTTTGTTTTCTGTAAATGGCAAGAGCCAGGATTTCTTCATACGCGGATAACGTCTTGTAGGATTCGTGAGTCATCTTGATGCCCATAATTGTGCTTGTGCAAGACGGGGGATGCATTCGTCTCGCCGAAAAATCAAGTCCCCCGGCAATTTGCACTCTTTGAAAATTCAACGTGCAATTAGGAATTATGATTATGCAATGATCTGTGTTTTGTTGTGAACGAATTGTGAATACATGCTTCTATCTTAGGGGCTACCGATGGCTCTTGGGATTCTAAGGAAGACGTAAAATGATTCCAGTTTGTCAGAAAATTGGGGTAAAAAATACGTGGTCTAGTTTGCGTGATTCTAAGCCATAGATACAGACTGGACATATTTTTTCTTTGACGAATTGATCCAAATTTTCTTTCATTTCACTTGAATTTCGTTTCTGCATTTCAGTTTTCCATCACAAACATCACGGAGATGGTCCATTTTTTAGACTTCAAAATTGAAGTTCGAAAAAAAAAAAAAACCTCAAAGCTCCCCGTTGTTTGATGATGTTTGATGATAAATCAATTCAACTTTGGAGACTGAGAGCTCTAACTTAAGAATATGAAATTTCCCAAATTTTCGTTTTTATTTAGAATTATTCGATGATTAAGATATATGTGAGATATATGTGTCTGAATAAATTTCATGCAGGATCTAATTGGCTTTATGCCGTTTCGTTCCTCAAATATGCAGTAAACGATTACATAACATGCATGAAAATTCCAATGAGGACTAAAGAGAGATTTCAGCTATTTGTTATGTTCCAGATGGTCTTTATTGAGGCCGTTAATTTTTTAATATTGCAGTCGAACAATTCCTAACCAGACAGAGACTCTATCAACCTCCAATGCAGTGGAATAAATCTGTGTAGTCACCAATAACGGTCCTAACAGCTAAAGACTCTGTATTGCAAAAGTACAAGCACGCTTCTACGACTCCGATCAAACATCTTCTTTTTTATGGTGCATCATTTATATCGATGACCCACTGTCCTACTTACGGAGGAAATCGCTTTACATTTCCATTTTGTTCGACTATTTTCGAATACTTTTTCTACAAAAGCGGTCATGATGAAGAGTTATTGTGCGCCAAAGTAATGATTTTACAACCCAGAAGCACGCAACTTTTTACTAATTTTAAGCTCCAACATGTATTCAAATTATTTCCAAACCATTTAGTTTTATTTTTATCCCCAAATTATCATTCTGTCCCTAGTTTATATTTTTTTGTAATTATTGACCGCAGAAGTGACACAGAATTCAAGACGACTATAAGTAACGCTATAAACGGCTCCCATGAGACCCCCAATAGATGTCTATGAATCACGACATTGTATAACTTTATATTGATATTCTTAAGGAGTATACAGTTTCATGCTACCACAATGTATCTTTACTCCCCTACGCCAGTGTGTTCACGAACAAAGTATATATCTTATAAATTTCTGGAGAAGTTATTTTAAGGATCAACTATATCATCTTTTATTTTCGAAATATCTTATCGGGCTTGAAGTGCCTAAAATACTCTGACACGGGTCTAAAAATAAAGCAACCCTGTTTGAAAAATTCTCTTTTTTCATATTTAAACCGTGTTCATGTCAGTCGTGTTTGGAAATTTTCACTTCTGTGTAACTTTTATTGTATATTGCTATTGTAGAAGGATCATATGTATTATTCTGAGTGACTGATCCATAACAGAAAATGGAAAAGACAATATTTTAAATATTTAAACATTCTCTTTAATCTGTACCTGATTGTCATCATACTTGTATGTCATTATTTAAAGAAAGTATTTTTTTCCACAGATATCGTAGTTTTGTATTTTTAGGGATAAAAGTAATTTTTATTTAGTTAAAAGCATGATAGTAATTGTGTCCTTTGAAAAATCGAACACAATCTGGATGTGAAAAAAAAGATACTGACCTCCTCACATCCTTGTTACCTGGGCTTCATCAGGACTTTTTTTTCAAGTTCATGGTTTAACTTTTTATTTCCTTTGTTCTTTCGTATCAATTCAAGCTGTACTTAAATTGTAAAAGTGATTCTCTCTATGAATTAGAAAGTAAACCCATAACCCACCAATGTGGCGTCACTAGAAAGTAAAACCATAACCCACCAATGTGGCGTCACTAGAAAGTAAAACCATAACCCACCAATGTGGTGTGACCAGAAAGTAAACCCATAACCCACCAATGTGGTGTCACTGGAAAGTAAACCGACAACCCACCAATGTGGTGTCACTGAAAAGTAAACCCATAACCCACCAATGTGGTGTCACTAGAAAGTAAACCCATAACCCACCAATGTGGTGTCACTAGAAAGTAAACCCATAACCCACGGATGTGGAAAGTAAACCCGGTGTCATGTCTTTATATATCATTATCATTCTTTTTTTTATTATTAAATTTTCTTGAGTGTTACTTTGCTGTAAGTTATATGGTCCTTGAATTGTCGATATGTCACAAAAAATTTCTTTGGAGAAAAATACTTCGAACACAAAATAGTTACGACACAAAATCAAAGTACTGACAGTACTGAAAGATAGGGTCGAATCCAAACATGAAGGCAATTTCAAATTTTAAAAAATGAATTCCTATATATTCCTACGAACCCCTTCTCCAATTTCTAAAACCCTATGGCTTATGGTTTGATCAAACTTCACGACATTAGCATCCTGCCATTTTTGGCTCAGTGGCTCTTTAAATATAACGAACCTAAATATTCGTCCATTTTTTTTATCTCCATCCGTGGAGGGTCAAAATCTATCAACTTTTTAAATCATCGATCCAGCCAATAATGCTTTGTATGTTTTATCAAGGTGCATAAAAAACACTTTTTTTAATCATTTGCATTTTAATCATAATTTAACTTCTAAAACAAAAATATATAGCACACAGTTAACAAATTACCGGAACGATGAGAAGCAACATCAACAAATATGATCAAAAACACATTGTGTAAAAATCAAAACAGAAACCGAACACACACCACACACATACACCAGCGAATATGTAAGCGGATCATGAAGTTCGAAAAAAAAATTCTATTTAGCTAACAACAAAAAAATAAAAGCATGATTTATATATAAATCACTAAAGAAAAAAACCCAGCCAGAAATACCAATTATTGAGTGAAATTATGCGAAGGCAAAAAAAAAAAAAAAAAAAAAAAAAAAATGAAAATGGTGATAACTTTTTTTTTTAGAGAAACCCAGAACAAGGCAAATTAGGATGCCCTGTTCTTTTTTTATACAGATTTTGAAAACTCCCCTCTTTTATGTGGAACAATTAACAACCAAAACAAATATATACTTTGATATTTAAAATAAAACTTGGTATAAAAATAGATTGGCACAAATTAAACTTCTCAAAAACTGCATGTAAATCTTACAAATTTTGCTGCCCTTTCATGTCTTTATCTTTAGCACATATCACTTAAAATTCTAGAAACAATATGCTGCATACATAAATATGCCTCCATAAACATGTGATTTGTGCAATTATTCTGATGTGGGACTATTTAAAGAAAGATTTTTTAAAAAAAAAACCCAAACACCCATAAAGTCAAAGAAACAGTCCTGGAATTGGACTGTTACAAAATGAAATGAAATGTGAAAGACGTGCAAAATTTAGAGTTAAGCAAAAGAAATCTAGTCTATTTCCCCAAAACACTCCCCAACAAAACCAAGTAAGAAAAAAAAGACCGTTGTGAAAAATTATGATATCGGCAATTTTAACATTTACAATTGCATTTTAATCCCGAACCAAATTAGGCAAAAGAAAAAATATGAAAATGCTAAAAAAAAAAAAAAAAAAAAAAATACATGGCTGCAAAAACGTGATTTTTGAGCACAAATGTCCATTTTCTATATACACTTGGTCAATGTTCATATGAAATACTTGATATAACAAAAAATGGCAGGAACACTAAGATTTGACCATTGAACGACGGGGCTCCATTTTTTTTTTGTCTGGGGGAGGGTTCTCACTTCTGTAGGCATTCTATCAGGCTCTGGGGGTCGGGCCGACGGAGGGTGGCGTACACTGGGATATCATGCTTTTGTAGTTCACTCTCCGTTGTTGGGCCGACTGCCAGAATCTGTGTAAAAAAAACAATACTGATCGAGCACTCTCCAAATATAGTGACATTTCTGCATCCAACCTTTATTGTATTATTATCATAGGAATACAGTGAGAGGGGTCAACAAAGAAGAAACAAAATGTAAATAAGATAAAAATATTTAACAATTTTAATAACTATCTTTTCAATCTTGAATGATAACTATATAAATATAACATATTTTCTAACAAGATACTAGTATTTTCATATAAACCATAAGGATTCGATCAAAATAAGAAAGGGTCAAATCCTTGATATTTTTGTACCGTAGAGAGGAAACTTCTGAATCTAAAATAAGTTCTCACTACGGGAAAAAATCCCGATGTTTTGGTTTTGTGTAAAAATCTTTCAACCCTCGTTCAACAACTTTGGAAAAGAAAATCAAGGATTTTTATTTTCGGTTATACAAATATAAAACTTGGCAAGATAACATCTTATTATTTTCTTAGTACATGTCGGGCGCATGTTTCTGATGAATGGAAGGTTTTTGTTTACTATTATGTAAAATACGTTCGTGAAAGATGTTTCCGTGGGGCAACCACGGTGCCTAAGATTACCACCATAATCCCCTTTAATTCACCACCTAGACCGTCTTCTATTTCCCCTCAATTGTATCAATGACAGCATCCAAAACATTTCCATTCTTAAGGGAAAATTATCTTGTTTAACTTCAAGGACTAATTAACTTTACTTTATACTTCCAATTCAGAAGAAACACGCATAAATATTTATGTAATATGACGTCATCAAAATGGCGCTCACAGATGGTCAAGTTTAACAAAGTACAAAGCAGTTTTGATTTTCTTCAACTAAACATCAAAATGACGACAATAAGATAAATATCACTAACATAACAAAAGATAATTCTTTATCAACAAAAATTCATCACATTCTAATCGACACACCGTCATAAATTCTACAAAAATCGCCAGTGTTTGTTTCTAGTGAGGGTGGCGCAACTTCAGCAGATCTCGAATCAAGTCAACAGAAAGTCAAAGAATGTGGTGACGTCAAACACAGGAAAACATACACGTTATCTGATAGAGAAAGTCGTACGCGGATTGCGCCAAAATTTTGGCGCGTATTTTTGTGTTGAAAATCGTCGCACATCTATCTTGTCTTTCAGATATACAGCCATTAGCTTTAGCGGCTTACAAACATGTTAATCTCGTAAATCGTCCATCATTGTGGTTTGGAGCAGAACACTGCTTTGTATCAAAAGAGTCTGAACATAAGGTTTTTTCCTCAGTTCTCGTATCTGTAGAATTATCTAATTCAAGTACACACATAGAATTTATAGAAAACATGGCTGTCGGCTGTTGAAAGGTTTATTGTAATAATACATATTCATGTTTAATTTTCCATCAATATTAATAAAACAACTTATAGTAAAAGTAACAGTCGTGATAAGTGTCTTCAGTTTTTTAATGCAATTTAATCAAGAAATAAAATATTTAACACAGCGATCTATCTGGATTTTGGTCCAAATAAAGTTTTTCAAAGTGCATGTATACACATGTATATACTATTGATCACCATAATTAAGCAAGATGGGGTCTTTGTTTATAACTAGCTGTTAAAAGAAAAGTATAAATTCATTTCTCTTGATCTACTATATAAGGACAGATAACAAACTTTTTACAAAAATCATAAAGATAACAAACTTAAGTCACGTTTATATAAGTAAATTGAATAAGTTTAACCGCAATTTTTAAAAAAAAAAATCGTTCAAATTTTTCCAATAGTGTTCAATCAAGTAATAAAACGTCGTATATATTTATAAGGATGACTGCAGAAAGGTAGATTTTGAACATCATAGAAATTATACAAATTCCTAATACTCTAGAAAATTATTCCATCATTTACAACCAGAATATGTCCAAAAATATATTATATCAATCCAGACATTCATTTTTATTTTTGTTTGTATCATCGGTCCTTAAATAAAACACAAAAATAGGTTTCTTGATGATCTCTGTATGAAGATAGTTATTTATCTAAGATTATCCACAAGAAATATTTAAAAGATGATATCATGGCCACGCCGCTATAATGAAAGACTTTACACCGCAGGAACCGTCTATCAATGAGAATGATGTGTCCCACAATATGTACACAACACGGAAAATCGCGCGATTTATGAAATAATCCATCTAGGATGATAAATGATGCAATTGATAATATAAACCCATGACAAATATTAACAGGTGACACCAGACAGATATAAGTAAATAATAGGTAATTCTTAAGAGTACCGATAGCACTCAGGTTTTTGTCTTCAAGGCCAACATGGTGCAATTTTTCGTTTGGAGTTTTTATGAAAGATTTTTTCCTTGCCATTAGATTTTAAATATTGTATGATAAATTAATCACAATTTCACAAGATTTTTTTTTAGAAATAGTAATTAATTGATAAACACAATGGAGACCCATGTATCAGGCTTTGAGATCTGCAGGTAACCCTGTACTTGATGTATCGGTCAGACCTGTCTAATTATACATAAATGCGCTGCTAAGATTTTATTAAGTGATCAGATTAATTAACAATGAACGTGGAAAAATAGCTGTCATGATCGGAAATGTATGTCACCTGGGACTTCCAGGAAGTCAACTACAGTGTTTCAGGAAGTCAACTACAGTGTGTCAGGAAGTCATCTACAGTGTTCCAGGAAGTAAACTACAATGTTTCAGGAAGTAAACTACAGTGTTTCAGGAAGTCAGCTACAGTGTGTCAGGAAGTCAACTACAGTGTGTCAGGAAGTCAACTACAGTGTGTCAGGAAGTCAACTACAATGTGTCAGGAAGTCAACTACAGTGTGTCAGGAAGTCAACTACAGTGTGTCAGGAAGTCAACTACAGTGTTCCAGGAAGTCAACTACAATGTTCCAGGAAGTCAACTACAATGTTCCAGGAAGTCATCTACAGTGTTCCAGGAAGTCATCTACAGTGTTCCAGGAAGTAAACTACAATGTTTCAGGAAGTAAACTACAGTGTTTCAGGAAGTCAGCTACAGTGTGTCAGGAAGTCAACTACAGTGTGTCAGGAAGTCAACTACAGTGTGTCAGGAAGTCAACTACAATGTGTCAGGAAGTCAACTACAGTGTGTCAGGAAGTCAACTACAGTGTGTCAGGAAGTCAACTACAGTGTTCCAGGAAGTCAACTACAATGTTTCAGGAAGTCAACTACAATGTTCCAGGAAGTCAACTACAGTGTTTCAGGAAGTCAACTACAGTGTGTCAGGAAGTCATCTACAGTGTTCCAGGAAGTAAACTACAATGTTTCAGGAAGTAAACTACAGTGTTTCAGGAAGTCAGCTACAGTGTGTCAGGAAGTCAACTACAGTGTGTCAGGAAGTCAACTACAGTGTGTCAGGAAGTCAACTACAATGTGTCAGGAAGTCAACTACAGTGTGTCAGGAAGTCAACTACAGTGTGTCAGGAAGTCAACTACAGTGTTTCAGGAAGTCAACTACAATGTTCCAGGAAGTCAACTACAATGTTTCAGGAAGTCACCAACAATATTTCAAGAAGTCAACCACAATGTTTCAGGAAGTCAACTACAATGTTCCAGGCAATCAACTACAGTGTTTCAGGAAGTCAACTACAGTGTATCAGGCAGTCAATTACAATGTTCCAAAATGTCAACTACAGTGTGTCAGGCAGTCAACTACAGTGTTTCAGGAAGTCAACCACAATGTGTCAGGAAGTCAACTACAGTGTTCCAGGAAGTCAACCACAATGTTTCTGGAAGTCAACTACAATGTGTCAGGAAGTCAACTACAATGTTCCAGGGAGTCAACTACAGTGTGTCAGGATGTCAACTACAGTGTGTCAGGAAGTCAACTACAGTGTTCCAGAAAGTCAACTACAATGTGTCAGGAAGTCAACTACAGTGTTCCAGAAAGTCAACTACAGTGTGTCAGGAAGTCAACTACAGTGTTTCAGAAAGTCACCTACAATGTTTCAGGAAGTAAACTATGGTGTTTCAGGAAGTAAACAATGGTGTTTCAAGAAGCAATCTTGTCTTTCAGGAAGTAAATTGTTCTTTCAGCTCCATCGATTTCTTATTTATCTGTTATATTTGATTCCTAAATATAAGCGATGATTTATCATCGCGTGGTTTCGCACCACTCGCAAAATAAAATTACTCGCTTTTATTCTTGTATTGCCGATATACGTGTAAATGGTTTTGATCAAAAAGGTACTTGCGATTTCATATTTTCCTAATTTGGAGTCTGCGAGTCATATCGCAAACTTAAAGTACTCGCTTGAAATAAGGAATCCATAGTAATAAGCCATTGCAGACACGATGAATTACCATCCGGCTATAACTTCTGCGTAATAGGTTCAACCGACGAATCTATGTAGCATTGTAACCTCTAAACTAGTACTAAAAATAAATTATAAAATCTTGTTTCAGTACACAAGAAAACAACAGAATTTATGGACTGGAACGACTTTTACCGTACAAAATAAAACAGAATGGTATAGCTCATGGCATTGTCATCTTCTAAATTTTGAATTTACTGGATGTGTATAAAAAGCAATGTTCTAAATTTTGTATAAAAAATCAGAATTTAGAATATGACAGTAGTACTGTCAAGAAGTATTTCATGCTGATGTCGGATTATTCAATCTTATTGCGGATCACAGGCACTTTGGGTATGGACCGACCCCTTCCCGAATTTTTTTCTTTCTAAATCTGGGATCAACACACTTTTTCCTATCGTATTACATGTATGTATTCTATAATGTACTGCATATGATCGATAATATATTAGCAATCCTTTTGTCTCTGTGAACTTTTTTAGAAATCCCTTTTTCAACTGATACATATGTAACATGTAGTACATAATAGAATACACGAATAGGAAAAAGGTGTGTAGATCCAAAATTTGAAAAGAAAAATATTGGAAAGGGGGTGGGAATGAGAGGTTCATACCCGAAGTGCCTGTATTGCAAACTACAACAAGAAGTACAAGAAGCATCGGACAAATCCGTCTTTCCTTAATAAGAGATAAAAATCGCGATGTGTGGCTTTGAAATATTCAGGAAGAAAAACATAATAATTATGAAACAAAAATTGTTACAATCATGGGATAAATCATATTATTTAAAGGTAAAATATGGCGGTGATGAACTGTGAAGCTTCACAAATGTTGCGAAATGGCCGTGTTTGCGTGTGTGCTTTGAAGTAACATTTTAAACAACGCTAATGACTGATATTTTCTGTTGAACAAAGTTACGTTTCTCTTCAACGTTGACGTGAAGCAGAAGCGGGCCATCTATTACACGGAGATAACACACGTCTAATGAAAACACTATGTTCGCGCCTCCATTACCCAGTTTTCACAGACGATACATTTGGCAGACGATCAAACTCACGCGCTGTGTACTGTCTGCCCCTGACCCGCGCGTGTGAATGGAGGAGGGTGGATCCGAGAGACCGTAACAATGGGAGGGGCGGATTGTCTACGTGGCGTGATGAAAAGTGTTTTGATTAAACAACATCAGTATGTCATCGTTTGTCTGCGTGGGGCTGTGTTTATATCAGCTGGAGAAGTTTTGTCTACATTTTTTTCTGAAATATCTATAATTTAAATGTACTCTTAAATTTGTCTGGGTTGATTTGATTCTAATGATAACACCAGCAAAAACTTCAAAGGAACCGAAAGTGTTTGCTTGTTCAAGAATGCTTGATGGCAAAAAATTTAAAGCTTGAAAGAACAAAGCTATTTCTTAAAACTTCTTTGAATAAATCTTAGTCGATCTGGGTACCTTGCACTATATTCATAGGTCAATGAAGCCTGAATGACTATTTGGGTTGGAGATAATAGTAAAACCAATAAAATGTTTTACATTGAATAATTTCACCCCCATGTACATAAAATAATCTAGATCCCTTCTCCTCATCCCCCCCCCCCCCTCAAACAAACAAAAATTTCTCGACCTCTTGAACCTGTGGTTATCTTGCTTTGGGGATGAGCTCTAAAGTTTTGTCACTCCTGACACTGGTTATAATTAATTATTTTGGGAGAAATTATTAGTTATTTTAGATATCTAAGCATACAGCATAAATCAAAATTGGAAAGGCAATTGGAGTCTGTCTGCATAATAATGAGCAACAGTAAAATAAACATGACCTTTTTGCACTTAAATTATAACGTTATAAAATTAAGGACATTCGCAACGTAGTTTGAACTTTATTTCTTTTCCCCTGGAGTTGAAGAGTTCCAATACTTAAAGGAACTGTGTGCTACATTTTAATGTCTATATATGCTGTTGTACACTTCTTCTAAAGCAAGTTTGGATAAACAAAACATCTGGAATATATGTTAAGTAATTTTTGTAAATTTTTCTTTGAATAATACAAGAATTTTTATCAATTGATATCTTTTCAAAACCTCTGGTTTGTTTTGTTTGTATGCTGTTCAACGTCCCCCTTGAGAATTTTTCACTCATATGGAGACGCCACCAACTGCCGGTGGAGACCTATACTCGGCACTTACGGCCATTGAGCAGTGAGGGACCTTTTTCGTGCCAGCACCTACTGCGACACGGGACCTCGGTTTATACGGTCTCATCCAAAGGACCGGTCTCCACGTCCCACAGTGGGATTTGACCCCGCGACGTAAGGATCAACTCTCAGACGCTCTAACCACTGCGCCACGCGGGCGACTCAAAACCTCTGGTAAAGCATGCTGATTTTTTGTCTACGAACATCTGATGGCACTATAATCTTAAATTAAGAATATCTTGAAAAATAATCAGCAGGTAAGGTATGTTGCGTATCTCCTTAATATTAATCACTTTAACTCAATCATATTTTATCATGTGTGATCATAACAATAAATATAATCTTATTTCATGTAAAATAGTAAAAAAAATATTATTACTAAAAAAAAAAAAATAGCCAATCTATGGTGTAAATTATTGTGTAACCTTTTTGCACTAATAAAATATTTTATATTGTCTAAACTCTCAATGTTATAATTTCATTTATTATATACCCAACTGTTTGTCACTCAGTTTTACTGTTGAATTTATGCAATCACGTGACGGTGTGATCCGACATTCCGGATCACCACACTGTGGTTTTCTGAATCCATATCACCCCTCTCTGAAACTGATGACGTAGTACACAGGTAAATGACGTTTTTATTCTCACGCATCAAAATGTTCCTTGACAAAATGGTTTGTTTCCTTATAAAAGTTAGGTAATTGATCCAAAAAGTTTCCTTTTATTATATTTTGCTAGTTGTAAAGGGGTATATAATAAATTTATCATTATAACAGTAACTTGATCCGAAGAGCCGTATTCTGTGAGTAAAAATACTCATGAGTGTATAGGGCCAAAGTCCCAACATACTGAATATATCAAATCTGTACATTTTAAGAATTTCCTTCTGAACATCCTTCCAACAAAAGAAATAGTCCTCCATAAATCTTATTTCTTGCTGATTATGAAATCTTTTTTTCATTAAATGTTGTAAAATTTGCATTGTTTAATTCAAATACACTGTATATATAAAATTAATTTGTAATTAATAATTTTGATATTAGAGGTTCTGACCCAACTTCTCTCAAAAGCCGACAAGTGTAAACACTGAGACAACACCTAAATAAAGGATATTATTGTAAGAAAATTTATCACCAAAGTTCTGAAATATATTCCTCTCTGATTCTAGCAGAGAACATATGTACTGGAGACTGACATTAAATTATGCATTTGTGCAAGAAAAAAACTCATTTTGGTTGGATCCATTGGATTTGATGCTGCAATATCTGAAAATCTCAAGAGGCTAATATTGTGTCAAACAGACGCTGGTAAGAAGTTAAATACACTCAGTAATGAACAAACAGGGGGGTGGGGGTGGGGGGGGGGGGTCAGAGGGGTCTGTCCCACCAAAAATAATAGGTTTTACATATGCATTTGAAATTTTTGTTTGCTTTTCAAGTAATTTTTGGTCCTGACCCCCAACCCACAAAAAAATCTTTTATGTATTTTTTTTCTTCTGAAAAACAGCAGGGCTAAGGTGACTCAGGTGAGATTTGCAGCCCATGGGCCTCTATTTATTTATTTTTTTTTTGCTTGTCAAGAAAATTTCTAAGAATTTTTATTTTAGTTGGTATGGAACCAAGCCCCCAACCCCATTGGGAAATTTTCCTCAACTCTCTTTGACCACTCTACTAAAATACATCCAGAGTCATCTTATGACATTGCTCATATTATACATATCTATTATTTATTAAACAGGAAGGGAGAAAATGTGACAGCTCATACCAGGGTTCCAACCCAGGCCCCCTGATCTCTGGTCATGTGGGCTACCTACTGAGCAGTCTTGGCCACTGGTGAACCCTCAACAGGTGCTCTACCTACTGAGCGATCTTGGCGACTGACTCAGTCTGACTGATACACTTACCTTCAGTGAGTTAAATGACAGCTGTGGAAACTTTCTTAGTGTGTTAATTAGGACAGGGACACCAGAAGGACTGAACATCACCATAGAATGTATAGGCACCTGTGTATATAGAAAAACAGTAATGTAGAAACTAAGAAACAGAAACCATTGCACATACTTCTTCAGTGTTTTATTTTCATTTTTGTTAGCTGTCCAAAAAAAAACATGAAGAAATAACATTTTCAGACTCTTCTGCTTTGAAGGTGAAAAATGTCAGAGATATAACTAATTATGAATACTCGATCAAAACTTCATATCTTGATATCTCCTAGTAACAAGAAGTGGTTATAAATCAATAATTTACACTCTCACATTCTAGAACCCAAGACTCCAAATTTATCACCATTTAATAACAACCCATAAAGAGACTAAAAGCTTCCTGTTGCTGTCGGGGGTTATTTATAGTAACAAACAGTCTATATTTCTTGAGGACATGACATATTAAGTTACAGCACTCAATGAGACAAGGTTTAAAATATCCACAGACAAGAATCAACCCAGTCCTTGACATTCAGAAGTGCTGGCTTAACTGGTCTTATCAAATGAAATATTGCTGGCTCCCACCCACTAGTGAGTTAAATTAAGTGGATATCAAATCTTCTAAGGTCTAGTGTTACTGTACAATGTTGTGATTGACATTTCTACAAGTTCCTTATCTTGTCAATAAGTTTCACAGGTACTTTGGTACAGTGATATTAATCTTAAGCCCTTAATAAGTTCAGTGATGTATGATGTACAAAAACTGGACCATTAGGTTTTATTGAGAAGGTTAATAGCTGGACTTAGTCAGTGGGCAGTTGGAACTATGGGTTAAGAGTTTGGCTATATTCAGTCCAAAGCAACACTCATGGAAATTGTGTACAACAATGTTACAACTCTAATTTGAGTGTAAAACCGATCAAAAATTCTAACAGTGCTACATTGCACTTGAAGATAAAAACTTTTACCCCCCCCCCCCCCCCCCCCCCCAAAAAATCATTCATTGGTAGAGGGGTAATGTTTTGTGATAATGTGCTCAAATGCTGAAAATCAAGTACTCAGCAACTGCACAAAGGGGCATAACCCCATCTAATTTTCATACCAATATAAAGAGTTTGTGTAGAAAGTACACACGATTGGATCAAAGATCTAATTTTAACTGGATTATCTATACTGTGCCTTACATTACATGTACATTCACTATATACTGTCAAACATTTCACTGACCTTCACTGTGGTCACCGAGAAGCTTTGCAGAAGTATACATTGTACATGTATATACCATATATTAAAGTAGAATTTTTTGCAAGGATTCAATTTTGGCATTATTAACGAGGGAGTTAAGATCACTACATGTAAAATTGCATATCATTAACAATTCATTCAGCACTAAGGAGGTACGGCTATCTTGCAAGATATTGTCAAATCGCTAAAATTACTTCTCGCTAGAATATATACTGATTTTTACAGCTAAATTTGCATCTCAAAAAAATTCAACTTATACAGTAATAATCATAATGTGTTTATCTAATACATTAATACCGATATATCTTGATGATCTTTAAGCATTCAATAAATTAAGACTTCATGATAACTTGTTTTAAAGGACAGGTCTAGACAGATTTATTAAAATTTAAAATGCTGGCCTTATTTAAAGAGAGATAACTCTGATTCAACACTAATTCAAAACTAGTATTATTCTACCTCTATGTGAGATTTCAAGAGGCAGTGATTGTAGTTACTTGAGATCTTGAGTGCTAGCAACTATGTTGTTCTTTTCACTGGAAAGCGTATGCTGGAATTTAGGGAAGAACATTCTGGGAAACATATCATGTCAGTTTCAAATTATGATCTGAAAACATATTATCTCTACAGTTTTAGTGTTTTGTCACCTAACCTTTACAAAAGAAGGGAAACTTGGGCTGTCAAAACTGCATCTTCTCAGAAATCAGTTATTTCCTTGTTTTACTTAATTCAAAATACTGGAATATTTTAAACTTGTAGGAGCTCATTGGTTCCATCAATATCTTAATTTAAAAATAATATTATCTCTTCCACCTCAACATTAAAATTGCAATGAACACCACAATGCTTAATGGCACTTTCCTGAATCTAATTTGAATAAACAGAAGTACATTTATGCACACTGATCATGCTGATGCCACTACCAATGTACAGTACTAGTGTACTCCAGTTTGAATCGAGACCCCCCTCCCCCTGAGCAGCACTGTCAACCTATTAATTTTAAAATGATTCACAAAATAAAACCAAATGGTTAAGAAACCTTCTTCTGTGTATAATAATGGCTATACAGTACTAACTCATCTATCTCTTATAAAAGATAAGCTAATATACTATTATATACTACAGTATACTATAAATATATTACCTTGCTCTTGGTGACCATAAACAATTCATCATATATGTCTTCTTTTGCTATTGTTTCATAAACTTTTATTTCTTCCAGACGAAAAACTGAAAACAGATAAACAGTAGATGTACTCTTTATAGATGCGTAGAATGAAGTGAATTAACACTGCTTGAATAAGAGACAAGTTAGAGATTATGTGTGAGGAGCAGAGAAGTTGAAGGATATATACAACAAGTAAGTACTGATTTAACATGCAAACAAAGTTTGTTAGAATCATTCAAAACTTATGGAGTTCAACAAGGACTGACTACAATGATCCACGATAAAGTAAGTAATGGACATACTTTTACACTGACTGTGAGCTGTCAGAGTTTCACGTATTACATCTCTACAGAGATTAAGATAAAGTACGTAATAGACATACTTTTACACTGACTGTGAGCTGTCAGAGTTTCACGTATTACATCTCTACACATATTAAGTAAAGATAAAGTACGTAATGGACATACTTTTACACTGACTGTGAGCTGTCAGAGTTTCATGCATAACATCTCTACATAGAGATTAAGATAAAGTACGTAATGGACATACTTTTACACTGACTGTGAGCTGTCAGAGTTTCACGTATAACATCTCTACAGAGATTAAGATTAAGTACCTAATAGACATACTTTTACACTGACTGTGAGCTGTCAGAGTTTCACGTATAACATCTCTACAGAGATTAAGATAAAGTACCTAATAGACATACTTTTACACTGATTGTGAGCCATCAGAGTTTCATGTATAACGTCTCTACACAGATAAAGTACGTAATGGACATACTTTTACACTGGCTGTGAGCTGTTAGAAGTTCACGTATAATGTCTCTACACAGAATAAGATGAAGTACGTAATAGACATACTTTTACACTGACTGTGAGCCGTCAGAGTTTCATGTATAATGTCTCTACACAGATAAAGTACGTAATGGACATACGTTTACACTGGCTGTGAGCTGTCAGAGTTTCACTTATAATGTCTCTACACAGAATAAGATGAAGTACATAATATACATACTTTTACACTGACTGTGAGCTGTCAGAGTTTCACGTATAACGTCTCTACACAGAATAAGATAAAGTACGTAATAGACATACTTTTACACTGACTGTGAGCTGGCAGAGTTTCACGTATTACATCTCTACACATATCAAGTAAAGATAAAGTACGTAATTGACATACTTTTACACTGACTGTGAGCTGTCAGAGTTTCACGTATTACATCTCTACAGAGATTAAGATAAAGTACGTAATAGATATACTTTTACACTGACTGTGAGCCATCAGAGTTTCACGTATTACGTCTCTACACAGATTACCACAAGGAAATAGCACCTCTCTGTTCTCTGCACACTCACTATCTGTAAACAGGAGAAAAATTATTAATACTCAACAGTTTATAATGCTGTATTATTTGATTTTGTCTAAAGTGTAATGATTCTATATATTTATCCCATCAAGATGCTTTGAGGTCAGTCAATTTCAAACAATTTCAAACAATTCAATCTGAGATATTCCTTATTATACCTTAATTATTATACCTCTACTGATTTTTTTCCCTATATAACATTAGATGCGACTAATTCCCATTAGTCAAGTGAGCTAATCCCTACTTTGAAGCTAATTCCCGGTTATCCGTAATCCTCTAGATTTTACTTTTACATCGGTATGATATGTGAATGGACTAATCCCCATGTGTTAGTTCAGTGAGCTAATCCCTGCTTTGAAATCATGCTATCTGAATCCTCTAAATTTTACGTTTGCATCGATATAATAAAACAGTTAAAAGTTTATCATTGCGGGAGTTAGCAAGATTCCAGTTCTCGGTTTTGCCTCGGGAAATAGTCCTGGCCTTGGGGAACTGGAATCTTCTAACTCCCTCATTGATATACATATACATGTACTTTAACTGTATATTATCCCCAACCCCCACTCCACCCCACCCCCTTTGACACGTTTCTATTTTCATTAATGTACAGGGCTCAATCTGGAGCATTGTTGTACATGGATAAAAAGTTAAAATAATGTGATGAAGGGCTCTTGTGATTAAAATCTATATGCACATCCATATACAACAAAAAAAGCTATAGACAGCTTGCCTACCTTGAACAATAAACTCTGACAAAAGTTGTGCATTTCCAGTACATTCACCCGATGGGTCAAATCCCAATTTTTTGGCTGAAAAATAAATAATAATAAAATCATACTTGAGATTATTCATGAAAATTTCTTTAAAGGGGAATGGACTATCTGAAGTTTAAATCCTTCCAAATTTTCAGTGTAAATTTGTGACTTATATGTTGCAAGGGTTTTTCTGACCAATACACGTATACACAAAAAAAAAAAAACAAAAAAAAAACATGTGTAGGGCCTACAGTACAGCCCACATATCATGAACATGCATATAATGAACTGACATTTTTATTCCCAGTGACTTTAAAAGTATAACTTAACAGATATAACAAATTATGCTTATAAGGAAGCAAAATTGTCTATCCCAGCTGGCACTTTGTTATAAGCATATTTTAGCTTAGAAAGTTCTTTTTTCTGAAATTATTAAAACTATGAATTTCAGGCATGTCTGATTGTGATAAATCTTGCACTCTCACAAACTAAAATTTATCCTTAGTGTTTAAGAAAAGGAGGAAATTTGTGGTGTATTAATTATAAAACTTAAAATCATAATCAAGAAAAATTAAGGTAGTCTAGGATTAGAAATGTAACAACAGTGTAACAGTGTTTGCAGTGTTACAACTTAGCAAATCGAATACACCCTAAATAACAATACCCGGTACAATATGTGACAGGAATTGAGCCAATGTTTACAAACAAATGTGTTTGGTTTAAGGTTATGAAAAATTGAAACTAAATTTTATCATGAATTATCAATTTTCTGTTGCTATTATATTACCTGCTTGGGCAGTAGCTTTTCCCACTGTATAACATTTCACTTTCTTAATGAAGCTCAATGGAATGTCTGGAAAGAAAGAAAACAATTTGAAACTTAATTATAATATTTAAATACTCAATGTTCATTATGACCTTACATGATGAAGTGCTGGAACTAGAACTGACTTGTGAAGGACTTTGATATCAGAAAGTAGGAAAAACGGAATAAATCAGAAGAAAACATACTTTTTTTCTATACATTTCAAATGACCAACAACAAGAAAAACAAAGTTTAATGAAATTATCAGATCATTTGCTAAAACTTGCCTCTTCTTTCATGAACTAATCGTTTTAATGGTCATTAAAATATATTCCTATGCAACTAAGAAATTTTGAGAAAAAAATTGCTTGCCATCACTCTTACAAAGAAAGCCTGCTTAACAAGGTAGGTTGAAAGTCGGTCATGTGGTCAGTTAAATTTCTCACCCACTGAACTAAGCACCATCTGCGTAGCCTGCACGGCTCGGGGACTAGTAAAAACGATGGCCAGATATTTGTCCAGTTTCTTCAGAAGCTGACCGTACTGGACAAGGTTAATGAAATTGAAATCTAGGATGGGTATGCAGTGCCCCCGGAAACCATGTCTATCCAATATCTGAAAAGAAAAAGATGATCAGGATTGAATTAAAAATTTATACAACTGCTTCTAAAGCTTGAAAGTACATGAACATTTATAGAGTTCATCCACTATAATTATCATTTATAGCAGTATGATTAATATAATCTCCAGAAGTTGAATGTTCTGATCTTTGCAACGAAATTTATTGTTTTCAATCCTAATAAAATTACTTGTTGGATATCATGGATATGTCGCACTATATCAACACCATTGTTTTGGTGGAGTTGTATAAAATCAACCTGAAATTCAGTAAGATAACAAGAGCAAAATGACCAAAATAGAGTGAAGTTCAAAGTCATATGAGGGTCAAGGTAAGAAAATTAGGACACAATTGAATAGCTCTCATCAATTAAATTTGCATTGATCAGCATGATCAGTACAATACATGTATCTTAAACAATGCTTTGAAACTGAGCTAAACATAAAGTGTGATGGACAAACAGACAGAAGGATGGAAGATAGACATGACAAACATAATATGCTCTACTCATGTACTGGTAAAAGACACGGTATAAATACATTGAGTTACAGAAAAGTGTGCTAAAGAATATAAATTTTATATCTGACCTTCAGGTTAGGGTCATTGTCATCAAAATATAAACTTTATATCTGACCTTTAGGTAGGGGTCATTGTCATCAGAATATAAACTTTATATCTGACCTTTAGGTAGAGGTCATTGTCATCAGAATATAAACTTTATATCTGACCTTTAGGTAGGGGTCATTGTCATCAGAATATAAACTTTATATCTGACCTTTAGGTTGGGGTCATTGTCATCAGAATATAAACTTTATATCTGACCTTTAGGTAGGGGTCATTGTCATCAGAATATAAACTTTATATCTGACCTTTAGGTAGGGGTCATTGTCATCTGATGTTCCAGATTTGAAGAGAATAACCAAGTTAGAACCCTGGATTTCCATATAGGTGACTAGAGGATAAATACTGTACTACACATAGAGACCAATATCATAGTACAGATCACATTCTCATTGGCTGACAACCTCAGACTGAAATTAAAAAAAAATCATTTATAAATTTCATAATTATAACATGATGATTTGCTCTTAAATTTTTTATATAAATAAAAAACTGTGCAAAATATGAACAAGTTCAATAAATTATACATCCATTAACAACTGTACAAATAGATTTTATGCTACAATTATTAAAATGATTGTAGCTAGCATTTCATGGGTAACAGGTAGAGAATCAAGATATAAAATATATCTGCAGAAGTAAAAAGTCATTATTGGTAATTGCCCATGCATATCACATACACAATGCAGTGAGCTCTATAAATCACATAAATACAGTCAAAAGGACATTCAAGTCCAGATAATCTGCAAGAAAAAGCAACAAGTTCAATTCAAAAACAACAATTAAACCTTCCAATAATTATTCATTTTAAATACAGTTGTAGCAACATGGTGAATTAGGATCAACCTACTGAAATAACTATACATGTAACATGATAAGAGTCAATTTTATTTTGTAAAAGAAATTATATAAGAGATATTTCTAATACATTTTTACAGTCATTTATATGCACTCACAGGCTATAATTGATGCCAGAAATGGTGCTAGTTTTGCAATCTAATTAAATTAAGACAAAAATGTGCCTTTTTCTTGACGTTTTTCTTAAGGGAAACATAGAGCACAGCTTTGAAAATGCAAAATTTTTCTTTTTCAGTAATTAGTCTTGGATAGATATGTTTTTGGTAAAAACATAAAGTTTAAATTTTCAATTCTGTGGTCAATATTTTCTGGAATAAAAACTGCTGTTTTTATATAAAATATGCAAAAACGGCAGGAAAATGTAAAACTTTATCACGTCAATTTCTAAATTGATGGCATTTTGATCAAATCGAAAATTATGAATAAAGGTCATGTGTATATATAGCTAGTGCAAAGTAAAGCTATATATAATTTAGTAAAGTAAAATTAAGATATTCATTTTTACTTCAAAATATTCATTTTCAAGTTTACTTGCATGCCCACATTGATATTTCAGGGCCCACAATTTTTTCTCCACTTTGTACAAAAAAATATTCTCAGGTTATTTGAATTTTAATCTCTGAGAAGTTCACTTTGTTGTCCATAATCTTTCATTTCCCTGATGAAATTAAGCACAATACACAAAATACAGACCATCCTGAAACTGAGCCCTATGGTAAGAAAACATAGGCTGTTGATAAAAGATCTATATCTATGTTTATTTATTAAAAATCAAATAAACAAATTAGTTCTTCCTGATCCTATGCCTAAATGGCATATATCTTAATAGCGAGCGCAGCAAGCGGCGCAAAGCGCCGCTCGTCACTGCGAGCTCTAACGACAACGCCTGGGCGAAGAGAAAATTCGGACTACTGCACATTCATTCAATAGAATATTTTTCCGCAGTAATTCTGGACCCACAATGCATCGCTTCTTGTTCTCGCTGCTAACTTCATTCGTGCGCTAACAACAACTAAAAATTCACAAAAAATAAACTCACCTCAATTTAATGGATATTGCAAACAGATAATAGATTGAATGTTCTTTGTTAAAGTATTTGCACTTTTCAAACTTCGTTTATTGAAATGCAGCTAACATACGACCCATGTGACGTCACAGTCTAGACGTTGCAAATGTCTCGTGCGGCTTGAAGAGGCGGATCTTAAAATTAAGTGAACAATGCGCTCGCCCCAACGGTCGCACCGTCAACATATTACAAGTTTTACAAGTACTGGTTTTATTCATTAATCATTATCATAATCTTGCTTAATTGTTCTAAATAACACAAAGAAATTTTTACAGATCTATAACATCTGGTATACATAAACCAAGGCGTATACAGTATTATCTGTATTACGAAATTTATATTTACAGTTTAAATTACTATTAAACAGTGTTATAGTTGTTATATATATCATACTTCAAAAAATACTCTGAAAGAAATGTCATCAATCTCACCAGCATAGAAATTATTTGTTGGAATTAGCTGTATATATATTTCGAACAGCAAATCAGTGACGTAAATCTTTCAACCTTGTTTATCACCTTTGTTTAGGTCTACTTTTACTTCCCTTCTGACTGACTTATTTGCACTGACGTCTGACCTGCCGTCTGTTGACGTGCTAATTTGAATCAAAGCTTGATCCCGATTAAAAAAATACAGAAAATATTTTCCTTTCAGTTTATGTATATGTTGTCAAAATCAATAAATAATCACATTCTTTATGATCGGAATGAATGTAGTAGTATAAGAAAATCAGTATCTGATTCTGAAAAATGAAATAACAATCATAACCATCGGGTTCGACTTGCGAGAAAAAAAAAGAGGAAAAGGAAAGCGACATCTAGTGGGAGCGACATTTGTACGTTGTGTGAAACCATGCTTTGATTTATTTTCGTTGTGAATTTCCCGTAAAGAACCATCAACTAAGCAACCATGGCTGGTGCAGCGGCTAGAGCACTTCAGTATGAGTACAAAGCGGTAAGCGTCAGTCTAAGACATTTCTTCAACTTAATGAAATTTGGTAAACTTCCACCGTAATATTGCCGGTGTTTTTTTGTGATGATTTCTACGTATTTCATTCGTTGTGATATTTTTTCTGCCATATCTGAACTATGTGGTGTTATTTTGAAATTTATCCTGCAAAACTTGCAGAGATAAAATGTTTATCTCTAAATTTTTTGGTCACTTGTTTTTTTTTTTTAAATTTCAGAACTCTAATCTTGTGTTGCAAGCTGATCGCTCTCTGATAGAAAAGCGTGGTAGAGATGAACCCACTGGAGAAGTTACTTCCCTTGTTGGGAAGACAGTCGGAACTAGAATGGGGGACAAAGCCATGAGATCAAAACCCCCACAGATGGAGGAACGCAAAAACAAGTAGGACACTGGATACTGGTCAAACAATTTTCAGTTAAAGACTTGAAGTCGTTTAGTACGACTAAGTATTTAACAAAGTTGGTGTAAAAACATTGTTTTTTTTATCCCCAGCAAAATTCTTAACAACAGTTTTCAATGGAAATGATTTTAGCAAGAGTTATTTCCCATTGGTTGCAAAATTGGGGGTAAACAAGCCCAGATTCCTCATTATTCATCCAATTTAAACTTGTCATACTGGATACTTGATTTGCATGTAGACAGCACCAATTTTCTGGTGAGGTTGTATTTGTTCAAGCAAAGATTTTTCATCTTATATTTGTGTCATAAATGTTTAAAAATGGTTGCTTCGGAGGAATTATTAAAATTCACCAGTTTGACCCCAAGATGGCGACCAAGGGGAATAACTTGAGAAAATATACGTCATTTGAAAACTATCTATTCATTGTAAAATTTTACCTTTACAACAAACTCTGAAATAATGAATTTACTGATCTAGCGAATTGATTTTGTGTCCCTTAGAGATAAAAATTATGAAATTTGTATCTTTTATGATGGATTAATTAGAGTTCACAATTTAATGTTAACTGGCATACGTGTGCATAAATTGCAAAGTCATATATACTTTAAAGTCATATGTGATGTATTTTGGTAAGTTAGGACTAACTAAAATTAAAAAGATTTTTCTATTTATTTTATTACTTTACAGATAAAGATAGGACTTTCCTGTAAATTACACAATTTAAATCAATCGTGCTTCATAGATATCAGAGATTTAAAACAATAACTGCTTTATTTGCCGACTCCGCATTTAAATATCAGACACAGTTTAAAGTCAATTTAACTACAGAAACATGGGGATATTCAAGTTCAAAATCGCTGAAAATTTTTTAATATGAACGTAAATAACATATATCATGTTGATCTACACTTAATCTCATATTTTTAATTCTTTTTTTTTAGCTCAGATACGCCATATATAGCTTTAACTAATTTGTTATAAAAATGTAACAAATTCAGAATAAAGCAAAGTTAATTTGTGGGTCCCTAGGACTTCTCTGTAATAGAGTTTTACTATAAACTGTAGATTCCAGTTGAAAAGCTGCATGTTGTATGGGTCCAATCACTGTAAATGCAGTATTAAAGAAGTTATTTGGCTAATTTTAATTTTTTTTTTCATTTTTAGGAGAACAAAGCGTGATGAAGCACAGCGAGATATGATGAAAATGAAAGGGACGACTTTACTGTCGGAGGGGATTGATGATTTTGTGGGAATCTTATACAGACCAAAAACCCAGGAAACAAGACAAACATATGAGGTTATCCTGAGTTTTATTCAGGCTGCTCTAGGTGATCAGGTGAGTGTGGATGTACTCAGATTTATTATTTTCCAATGTAATTACTTAAGCATTATTTTTATTACAGATATAAGAAGCTATATCCTCCTCTTCATATTTTTTTGCCTGGCATGTTAGTTTTAGAGGAGGGAGGCAAATATAAATGTAAAAAAAAGTTGACAAATGAAATTTTTTTAGCCACGTGATGTTTTGTGCGGTGCTGCAGATGAGGTCCTTCAGGTTTTAAAGAATGACAGATTGAAGGACAAAGAGAGAAAGAGAGAAGTTGAAGAATTGCTTGGAAGTGTGGCTGAAGAAAGGTTTGCTGTCCTCGTCAACCTTGGCAAGAAAATCACAGACTGGGGACAGGAAGAGAAGATGCAGACAGGTGGGTACTGGACTTCCTCTGGATTGGCTTTATTACACAATCATTAAACACCTAATTTAGACATTCATAAAAATTGCAATGCAGAATGGTTGTTTCAAGTGATGTTTCAATGTCCAAAGAGAGTTTAAAACGAAGTGGTACATGTAGTTTCATTTTTTCCCCATGTGTATGTCAAACTGTAAGATAAGAAAAGAAAAAGAGAACTTATCAGAAGGCTAGGATTTTTACATTGAAAGTAATAATTCTGTTATTTCAGATGACAATATTGATGAGACATACGGTGTTAATGTACAGTTTGAAGAGTCAGAGGATGAGGTAAGGAATAATTAATAAGAGAACATCTGTGTATTTAAATTTCAGCCAAACAGGTTGAAATGTCATACCAAGGTGTACAGACATTAATTATTGAAATCTCAGCCAAAATGGTTGAAATGTCATACCAAGGTGTACAGACATTAATTATTATAAACCTCTTTGTATTTAAATCTCAGTCAAACAGGCTACAAAATAACACCAAGGTTTTTAGATACTGAAAAAAAATCCTCCTTTTATTCTGTCAAGATTTTTAATCTAAAATAAGCTAGCTTTCATCTTTGCATAAGTAATTTATGAAAGTTTCACAATTTGAAAGTTGGAAAAGTCATATAAAGATTCCCCCAGTGAAAAAGAAGATTGGTTAACCATGGAGTAGTAATCCAGTAACTGGAGTCATGATATTTACATCCGCTGAATATTATTTCCTTTTCATCTCATGAAAACCATGGTTGTTCGTCAATACTTTAAAGCCACTAAGCAAGCCACCTGTATAGATTTATTGAGCAATGGCTCTTCCATCAATGAAACATACAATGAAGTCCATATCAGTAATACAATATTTACTTTATGATTATTTACATAAATATAAACAATGACATGTCCATTACACAGGTTATGTATTTTTCTGCAACATCTGCAACATTAATTCCCACACTAAAAACTAAAGAGAGAATTTTATTGTTTAAATTTACAGGATGAAGGCGATGTTTACGGGGAAATTAAAGAAGATGGAGAAGAAGAAGAGGATGAAGAAGAAGGAGTTGAGGCTGATGTTAACGACACTCTCCACACAAATGTAAGTACACCCGAACTCACTCAGTATAGTACACACTCTCACGATACTCTCCACACAAATGTAAGCACACAATTGTATGTATATGCACACTAAGAGCACATAATAGTATGCATACTAACATTTTTTTTTATGTAATGTACGCACACTAGCAGTAAAATTTAAAAGTATGCACACAGGCATCGCTCAATAGTATATGAATGCACACTGGCAGCACACAATACTGAGATGTACGCACATTAACATTATCAAGCCAGTGGAGTTGAAATGTATTTTCCTGTTTACAGTTGGCAGGAGAGGATGGGGGTAACAAATCAGATTCAGGACTCCACCCCCGTAATATTGATGCCTTCTGGCTTCAGAGAAAACTTAGTAAGCATTATCCAGACGACCCAACAATGGCACAGACAAAGGCTGGAGAGGTGCTCCAGATCTTAAAGGTCAGTACCGTCATAATGACAATGGATCCCAACTCTGTATCATTTCACACATGAAATTAAATTTGATAAAAATAAAAAAAGGAATGTTTTCAAAATTCAGGAAATCTAAAAATGCAATATTTTGAGAAATATGATTCTGTCTGTTAGTGAGATTTCTTATTTAATCATACAATGTCATACATTTGTATAAGAAATAACCTGAATGAGTTATTTTAAGATATCTTTTTTTTTCATTCAGACCCATGACTGATGTATATATGTATGTACATTGGGTGACTTTAAAAGATTTATGTTTCTCCATTATGAATTCCCCTGAGTGACGTGTGTCTTTTCAGACTGCGGGAGATGATCGGGAGGCAGAAAACCAGCTCGTCATGTTGTTAGGTTTTGACATGTTTGATTTCATCAAAGTTCTCCGACAACACAGACAAATGAGTAAGCAAATAAAATTTATTGTTATCTTCTTACACATCATTACATTTATTTTTAATTCATTTTCTGCCATGACAGTTTTATGAGTGATAGGTTTTTGTTCACTTTTCCTTGCATCACTTTTGTCCTGTGCTGTACCATACTATAACATCTGTCATTCTGCACTAAAAGCTGCTGTTATAACTTACCTTACTCAAGTCTGATGTGGTACAATGTAGTTATTCTCTTTACTCTTTTTCTGTTTAATACTTGTATCTTGTTAAATAATCTTTTTTCCCCTTTTGTTGGTAATCTAACACAGTTCTATGACTTTATTTTAGTCCTGTACTGTACTTTGCTGGCCCAGGCTCAAACTGATGAAGAGAAGAGAAGCATCGAGGAGAAGATGTCATCAGACACCGAGTTGTCAGGGTACCTCAGGGCACTGGGTGCCACAGACAAGGAGGATCTAGTATCGGAGGAGAGGGCAAGGCGACAGCAGGCCAGACAGACGAGGGTCGCAGCAGACATCGAGGCCATGGATGTTGACCAGAGTCAGGTATAGACCAGTGGTAGAATGTTGTTAGGGGCCTAATTACTGGAAGTGTAGACAGGAAATTTTAAATTCGAGATTGCTTTTCACACTATCCAACATGAACAAGCTATACATATATATATATATATATATATATATAAATATAAATATATAGCTTGAATGCTGGGTCTGTCATAACTTTAAAAAGAATTTCAAACCATTTGGGAAAGTACTGAGCATACACTTAGATTTAAAAATGTTATCTAAATAAATTTTTTGAGCATACAGTAATATTTTTATACCCCCCGCAAACGAAGTTTAGGGGGGGTATATTGGAATCAGCTTGTCCGTCTGTCTGTCTGTCTGTCCGTCTGTCTGTAGACGAGATTTTGTCCGGAGCATTTCTTGGAAACTGTTGCGAGGATTTGTCTGAAAATTTGTACACTTATGATTTGCCATATGAAGGTGTGCACCTGGTATTTTCATCATGATTGGATACTTTTTTTGCATTTTACAGGTGTTTTTTTCATTTTTATTATGTGGTTTTGTCCGGATCTCTTCCCAGAGACTATTGCATAGATTTGTATGAAAATTTGTACACTTATTATTTACCATACGAAGATGTGCACCTGGTATTTTCAACATTATTTGATAATTTTTCTGCATTTTACAGTTTTTTTTTTTTTGCATTTTTATTGACTTAATCATTTCGGGTTCATGTCTAAGGTTTGAGACATAGAATCTAGAACATCTGTACAAAAATGTGAACTACAGCTTAAAACAACTCATTAGAACTAAAAAAAAAAATCACAAAGTATTAAAAACAGTTTTTACATTACACAGCAGATAGTGTAAATCCATTTGTGCCTTGGGAGTAATGAGTGGACATGCATCCAGTTAAAGATTAATTAATGAGTTCAGTGTGGGAAGCTGTTAGGGCATCTCTGATCAAGCAAGTCTTATTTATATCTCCTGGGAATTGGGCAGAAAGAAATAAAGATCTCTGTTGTCTAAGTCTCTTAATTGTAATTTATGTCTGTCAAAATACATAGTTACTGGAACCAGCCTTTTATTTTTAAAATGAGTTTGATATAAAGGTATTAAGATCAATTTGATTTTGTATAATTAATTATGATAATTTTTTTTTCAACAATCAATTTGCAGAGTGTCGTGTCTCACAAAGATGACAGATAGTTGCAAACTATTTTTTCAATGTAATGAAAAACACTGTAATTATTAGTATTGGTGTTTTATTAGGCTGCACCTTAGTTTCATTCATTAAAAAAAATATGAGTAATTAAATTTTCACTCTAAATGTTTAAGCAAATTGTGAACACCTCTCACATCTAGAAAACAGTAGTGATTTGGTACCTTCTCTGAAAAACCCAGCGGGGGGTATTTGTCCCTTTTGGACAGTTCTAGTTCAAAAAAGATTTAAATTCTTAGATCTTGCCTGATGTTTAACTCCAGTGAACTAGAATTTCACCAAATTCAATTTTAAATGATGTTTTGCCTGAATTCTGACAACCCACTTGTGTATAATTTTACAGCAAAAGCTTGGAACAGTACATCTCCTTGACCTTGAAGACTTGACCTTCAGTCAGGGCAGTCGTCTGATGGCCAACAAAAGGTGTCAACTCCCTGATGGGTCATACAGAAAGCAGAGAAAAGGTTTTTAACACTTTTACTGATATACAGATGAAGTTATTGGTGTCAGCGTTAAAACGCTAGAAGCAGGGGTGTGCAATTAAAAAATTCAAGCACTAGCCCACGGGTGGCAGCAATAAAGTTACTAGCCCAAAGTAAAAAGTTACTAGACCAAATACAGGGGCAAAAATTTAAAACCAATAGGGGCCTTATTGAAAAAAAAGATTAATTGTTGAAAAGTACGGGTACTTAGGTCATGCCTGGAAAATTTTCACTGGTTGGGAATTTAATAGCGAAAAATGGGTGAAAATACAGGTTGTGCTTTTCATGTATTACATGCATAGTTTTAATTTTTACTAGCCCAAGGGGCTACCTCAGTGCAGAAAACCACTATCCTGACCCCCAGAAATGGTAGCCTCGGGCGTCGGGCGATGCTAATTGCACACCCCTGAGAAGTACAGCTTCTGAGAATCACACATATAACGTTATCTCAGATCATGTAATTCAAGCCTGGGAAAAATATAATAATGATAAATACATGTACATTTAACTGAAGTGTGTTAAGTCTGTAATTGGGGTATAGTAACGAGTTTGAAGTTTGAGGTTTTACTTTCATTTTCAGGATATGAAGAAGTACATGTTCCAGAACTGAAACCAAAGACTTTTGAAACCGATGAGGTCTGTTTATTTTTTTTTACATGTTGCATGCAAATTTTGAAGACTGTACATGTCAAAAATCAGAAGCATCAAATGTCAAGTTGTTACAATGTGCAAGTACAAACTGAGCAATCATCTTACAGTGATTAATTTTATTGCAAATAATTTTTTATATAATAATCATATAACTGTGTACACATTAAGTGCAATAATGTATTTCCTGTTACCAGACTTTGCTGCCAATAGATAGATTACCAAAGTATGCACAGCCAGCCTTTGAGGGATTTAAATGTCTGAATCGTATCCAGAGTAGACTGTGGAAGTCCTGTATGGAGTCGGATCAGAACCTCCTCCTGTGTGCCCCCACGGTGAGCCTCTAAATTAAATCTCCTATTGTGTGCCCCCACAGTTAGCTAAATAATAAAAAACTCCTTTGTGCCCTAACGGTGAGTCTCTTATTAAATCTCCTGTTATGTTCCCTAACACTGAGCTTTGAAATAAAAGCCCCACTTTGCTCCCACATCTTACATTTCTAACTGTGTACACCAGTTTAGTTTAGGAAAAAAAGTAAATTCATTTAGTCTGAAACTAAATTATGTCCTATATCCTGTCTCAGACAGACATAATGCATTAAACTGAAAATATTAAATGATCAGGGTTTATCATGTTTTGAATCACATACAGTAGATATTTGTAAATCTGATCGTGTACAATGCTGTCTTCTTAACAGGGAGCAGGAAAGACTAACGTAGCCCTGCTGTGTATGCTTAGAGAGATTGGGAAACACATTAATGCTGACGGAACAATTAACACTGAGGAATTCAAAATCATTTACATAGCTCCAATGAGGTCCTTAGTACAGGAAATGGTTGGCAGCTTTGGAGAGGTAAATACCTGAAGGTGTATCATATTTTTTCTTGTTTAAGAGACTTTTGAAGGTCTTTACTGCTATTTAGAGTTTCATAAAGTATTTAGTTCTAAGACTTTAAGTTGCCGGAAAGATAATCAGATGTTTTGAATCTACTGTATATTTATGTTTGCAAACAAAATGCTAACTTTTTATTTCAGCTTTTTAACAAAGTTTATATAGTGCTCTGAACAACTGCATACTTTCTATAAAAATACAGAGATCATTTCTTGTCTGGTTTTATGTTTAAAAATGAATTCTATTTATCCTTTATATTACAGAGACTGAAATCTTATGGTATCAAGGTTGAGGAACTGACGGGTGACCACCAACTGACCAAAGAACAGATCACCAACACCCAGATCATTGTGTGTACCCCCGAAAAGTGGGACATCATCACCAGAAAAGGGGGCGAGCGTACCTACACTCAGCTCGTCAGGCTCATGATTTTTGTGAGTACACTCGCAACATCAGAGAGTTCACTCAGTAAATCAAGTTTAAGTTATGTTTTAGTACACCTCAGGTTATCAGTCAAGAATATACATGTAAGAAAGAGAGAGAGAGGAGAGAGACAGACATGGAGAGAGAGATTGAAATATAATAAATGTACAGTACTTCCACGTACTAAGAATGGAAATGTTTGTTCTGTCCTCACAGTGTCTCAGATACTGTGAGTTACATGTAGTTGTACGTATACGTGTTTGTAAATGTACATGTGTGCTGTAATCTGAAAATACATAATTTTATGTGACAGTGTAGATCTGTGATCACACTTCTGGAACCACTATTATACATACGGTGTAAAATGGAATAATGTTTATATAAAAACTGCTTTGTTCTCAAATGTCTGTTTTGTTTCCTTTAGGATGAGATTCATCTTCTCCATGATGACAGAGGGCCAGTCCTAGAGGCATTAGTAGCCAGGTAAGTCAGACAGAGGACCAGTCCTAGAGGCATTAGTAGCCAGGTAAGTCAGACAGAGGACCAGTCCTAGAGGCATTAGTAGCCAGGTAAGTCAGAGAGAGGACCAGTCCTAGAGGCATTAGTAGCCAGGTAAGTCAGGGAAATTCTCTCTGTGGTTTAATTCTGTCAAAGAGTTGATAATGTAATACTGATTATTCACCACTGACTTCTTGGTTGAGTGAAAAAAATCTCTAATTTTTTCATATTATTTTAAACAAAATTTTACTTAAGTCATATCAGATATGGTGTTCATATGCATTGTTTTATTTCGTTGAATTACTAAAGAGAAAATATTGTGTATTATTGCAGAACAATCAGAAACATTGAGACCACTCAGGAGGATGTCCGATTGGTGGGGCTTAGTGCCACACTCCCTAACTACGAGGATGTGGCCACTTTCCTGAGAGTGGACCCAGCAGAGGGGCTGTACTTTTTTGACAACAGTTTCCGACCCGTCCCCCTGGAGCAACAGTTTATTGGAATCACAGAGAAAAAAGCTGTCAAGAGATTCCAGATCATGAATGAGATTGTGTACGAAAAAGTTCTGGAGCATGCTGGGAAAAATCAGGTGTGTTAATGAGAAAAATTTGGGGATAACCAGTTGTGAGAATGACCCTTTATACCCCTCACCAAGACTTTTTTGTCCTTTTGCTTATTCAGAGTTCTGGGCTATTTGTTGAATTAGTCCATTCAAGAAATGATCAAGAAAATCACAAATAGACTAATTCGGTTAAACTGTTATTTCATATCAAGGTCTACATTAAAAAAAAGTGTGATAGTATACATGCAAACATTTTGCATAACATTTGATTCATTAACTGCTAAAAATATCTGCTTGCATTGATACAGCTTTGATCCCAGAGCACACACACACTTAAAATTCATTGTATTTATCTGAGTACTGTTAATGCCAGGTGCTGGTCTTTGTCCACTCAAGGAAGGAAACAGGGAAGACTGCTCGAGCGATCCGAGACATGTGTCTAGAGAAAGACTCTCTGGGTATGTTCCTCAAGGAGGGGTCGATCTCCACCGAGGTCCTCAGGACAGAGGCAGAACAGGTCAAGGTAAGGTCAAAGAAATATAGGTCAAGGTTAAATCGTAAAGGAATGGTGTTCAAATTCACGATAAAGTGGTGAATTATTACTATACACTATTAGTCCAGACTTAATGTTTCTCTGTTTACAATGATTAGTTTTGAGGATTGTATGGGAAGGAACTGTTATGTTTAAATTGTTTTTGACAGAATTTAGAGCTCAAGGATTTACTGCCTTATGGCTTTGGAATTCATCATGCAGGAATGGCCAAGTAAGAGAAATATTAAATTTGTCTTTTCTAAGCCAGTCATGAAATAGAATGTTACATGTATTTCTATATTTTTTTATCACAAATAAATTGAAAATTAGGTGTGTACTTAAGCTTAAGTATATTTCAGTTTAAGGAACAGTATTATGGTTATGAAGAACATCATGAAAATTAAGGGAATTCAGCTATACATGACTAAAAATGATGTTGTAATTAAGAAATCTTCATATATTCATCTACATTATACTTAAGTGTATATGTATTCAGGGTTGACCGTATCCTGGTAGAAGATTTGTTTGCTGACCGTCACATTCAGGTTTTAGTGTCCACATCCACCCTGGCCTGGGGGGTCAATCTGCCCGCCCACACGGTCATCATCAAAGGGACACAGATCTACAACCCAGAGAAAGGACGCTGGGTGGAGCTTAGTGCATTGGATGTGATGCAGGTCAGAAATCTTCATAAACATAATAATACTGCAAAATTCCCTACTTTTGAAGCTATATATAATAAGGAAATCATATGGTTGCATTCCATAGAAGCCTAGATCTCTTCTTCAATAATGAAGAAACAAACATTCTCATCAAACTTAATCAAACTTAATTCATATAACTCATTGCAGAAAAAACCAGGATCTTTTGGACCAATTTTAGTGTGGGAATGCACATTTCATGACATCATAACATGTTTACCAGTCTTTATATACAATCGACATGTAGATAAAAAGTACTTTTGTATCAAGCATGTATATATAGATTTGGTGCAATTATACATGTTTTCTCACTTAACTGAAGCCGCAAGTATTCTTGAATTGTAGATGTTTGGAAGAGCTGGCCGCCCTCAATACGACACCAAGGGGGAGGGCATCATGATTACCAACCACAGTGAACTACAGTATTATCTGTCTCTGATGAATCAACAGGTAAGTCACATGATCGTCACATGATCAGCAACATGATAATCGTGTTAATAGCTTTAACATAGCTATTACATATCCAATGTACTTTTACAGACTTGGATTTGAAACAGAAACACACTCTCTTAATTTTCAGAAAATATGTGGAACCCTGAAATTCTTCCTATAGGATAATTTTGGTTAGAGATTACATTGCATGAATGAAATTACATGTATGTTGTAGAAAATAGTTAAAGATTAATTATCAAATATTACTGAAAATAACAAAAATGTTGTTTGTTTCAGTTGCCCATTGAGAGTCAGTTTATAAGTCGAGCGGCAGATTGTTTGAACGCTGAGTGTGTTCTGGGAACTGTACAGTCTGTCAAGGAAGCAGTAGACTGGCTTGGTAAGTCTGAGTTACTAGTGAGTCTGGAATACTTAAAGAGTGTGTTAAACATTACAGGGGGCACAGTATGACTTATTTTGATTTTCTTCTCTTGATAGGATACACATACCTGTATATAAGAATGCTGAGAGCCCCAGCATTGTACGGAGTCAGCCATGATATGCTTAAAGACGACCCACTGTTACAACAGAGGAGAAAAGATCTGATCCACACTGCGGCCATGACTCTGGACAAAAATAACCTGATCAAGTATGACAAAAAGACGGGACAGATACAAAGTACCGAGTTAGGGAGAATCGCCAGCCACTACTACTGTACAAACGAGACCATTGCCACATACAACCAGCTCCTGAAACCCACACTTAGTGAGATCGAGTTGTTCCGGGTTTTCTCCCTGTCATCCGAGTTCAAGCATATTGCTGTCAGAGAGGTGAGAAGATTGATTAAAGATGTGTTAATTGTTTTATTTTATTGGTAGTACATGAAATAGAATGTCTTCTTGTTCTGCAAAGAAATAGGAGTGATTCACAGTGTTTGATGTATCCTTATCCAGTTAATATCCAGTTAATATGCAGTATATTTATGGTAAAAGTCTGAGTTTGTGTTTTGCAGGAGGAGAAGTTAGAATTACTGAAGCTGTTGGAGAGAGTTCCCATCCCAATCAAAGAAAGCATTGAAGAACCCAGTGCTAAGGTAAGGCAAAACGAACATATCACTGACCTAGTAACCTCGATCTCGAAGAAGGCATTGAGGGACAGGATGAATCTTAATCAAAGAAAGAATTGAGGAATAACTAAGGAGTAATTGAGGAGTAACTTAAACCACATTCAGTACAAGGTAGATCTTGTTTGTAAACATGAACTGAACATGCATTGTGTGATTGGACTTTTTTGCCCTGTAGGTCAATGTCCTGCTCCAGGCCTACATCTCTCAGCTGAAGTTGGAGGGATTCGCCCTGATGTCTGACATGGTGTTTGTGACTCAGTCTGCAGGTAGACTGATGAGGGCCATATTTGAAATAGTTCTACACAGAGGCTGGGCCCAGCTGGCTGATAAGGCCCTAGCCCTCTGTAAAATGGTTAATAAACGCATGTAAGTATTGTCTGTGTTATTATTACTTAACATAGGACAGAGAAATATTGGTACATGTATGTTTCCAATTTCTACTGTCATACAGTAAAACTTGCTTATAAGGAAGTCCTAGGGATATATATCTTTTGTTCCGTATAACTGAGAGTTTTATCTACATGTATAAAAAAAAAGTGTTATTATAATACTGATGGGGAAGAGATATACATGTAACTTTCTTGTAACCAAGATTTCCTTATATCCATGTTCCTTTAAGCGAGGTTTACTGTACATGTTATTTAGTATTAGAAAAAGAATTTGTTTTTGAGTAAATTTATGTAGTAAAGAGGCTGATTTTTAAGTGTACAAGTCAAGTAGTTACACGTATTTTGCTATAAAATTTTAACTTCAGTGATTTACATGTAAATGTGTAGAATTTTTGTGCTTGTAAATGATTTTCAAAGTATGAGCAAGTGTTGATGTTTTCGGTGATTTTTCTGTAGGTGGCAAAGTATGTGTCCCCTGAGACAGTTTCACGACAAGAAGATGCCCATTGAAGTTATCAAGAAAATTGAAAAGAAAAACTTTCCATTTGAACGTCTTTATGATCTTGATCCTTTGGAAATTGGGGAGTTTATCCGAGTACCCAAGAGTGGCAAGACCATCCATAAATATGTACATCTGTTTCCAAAGCTTGAGCTGTCTGTTCATGTCCAACCTATCACAAGAGCCACCCTGAGAGTAGAACTGACCATCACCCCAGACTTCCAATGGGACGAAAAAATTCATGGTTCATCAGAGGTAGGATAAGAATTCAGACCTGTAAGATACTGTTAACATGGTAAACTAACATAAACTGGCTAACTCAATATTTAGGGCAATCATCCCCTACAAATGATTCGTGCAATCATGAATTGGTACACTATAGCTTTAACAATGACATGTATTACTCTTACTTATATACTTATAAGCCTGTACATGTCAAATAAAGGAAGAAGTAGTGCAAAAGGTGTTAAGATATTACTACCACTAAAATAAGTATGTTTACAGAAAGTGGAAATCCAAAGAATTAGCTTGAATTTATCTTGATCAGTTTTATACTAATAGACAGATTTCTGTTCTCCCTTTAGTACAAGATTCATAAACATGAAAAATTTGCCATTACATACAATATTCATTTGCTCTTTCAGAAGAAGTCTTCTGAGCTAAGACAGGATAAGGTTAGAGCTTTAATCTTTATGTTATATTTGTCAGGCTTTCTGGATACTGGTGGAGGATGTAGACAGTGAAGTTATACTACACCATGAGTACTTCTTACTTAAAAGGTATGTTAAGAGAGCTAATTTTCAGGCAGTGATAAAAGCCCTGTCTGCTTTATGATGTACATACATGTCCATGTGGATACAGCGTTATTGTTTTCTCTTTGCAGTAAATTTGCCCAGGATGAGCACGTTGTTAAGTTCTTTGTGCCAGTCTTTGAGCCTCTTCCTCCACAGTACTTCATCCGAGTCGTATCTGACAGATGGATAGGTAAGTTTTATAGGTCTATTATCAAGTGTACTGTGGAATCATTGTAATTTGTGGGGGGTCAATGTTCGTGGGTAAGCAAAATTTTGTTGGTTTGTGGGGTCGTAATATGGATATGTCATATTTACAGAAAATGCAATGAATAAATATGTTGACAAAATAATTGTTCTTGGGAATATAAATTCCTGGATAAGGGTGAAAGAAATCCATGAACATTGGTCCCCCCACAAATGATGACTCAACAGTATCTTCAAAAGAGCCTGCATTAAGAACAAGGGATTTTTATAGAAATTTACTGTATATTAAGAGGAAAAATCTATTGAACATGAAGTGAATATACAGCTCTGAATGATTTCTTGAAAAACTTTTCATCATTCTCTGTGCTTCTTATAACGAATTGACTTTTACAGGAGCAGAGACGCAGCTTCCGGTGTCGTTCCGTCATCTGATCCTCCCGGAGAAGTACCCTCCACCCACAGAGTTACTGGACCTCCAGCCCCTCCCCGTGTCTGCTCTCAGAAGCCCAGCCTTTGAGAGTCTTTACAGTGACAGATTCCCATTCTTTAATCCAATCCAGACTCAAGGTAAGGAATGGAATGTCTTTGTATTGTCATGAGGAGATATATATGTGATGCAAAGTTGTGGTATTGCTTCGAACACTTGTGCAAAGAGAATGATATAAATGTACATTTTATGTATGTTGCATATACTTGTGTACATGCCATATATTTTATCAATTTTGAAATTCCCTTGTGGGAACATTATGATTGATATTAACATGTGCATAGTGTAATTGCAGTTGATTTCATTGTTTAATGCTGTGTACTACATGTGCAAGAATCTATTTATTTGAGGATTGTTGTTGATTTCAGTGTTTAATGCTGTCTATCACACTGATGAGAATGTATTTATTGGGGCTCCCACGGGGAGTGGGAAGACAATCTGTGGAGAGTTTGCCATACTGAGGATGTTCTCCCAGAACCCTGATGGTCGCTGTGTTTACGTCACCCCACTGGAGCCTCTCGCCCAACAGGTAACAGAAAATTAATCGGAGAAGAATGGATTATCATCCATGTTCACCCATAGTAAACTGTCTATAAAAAATTATGTCTTGGAATTTTCATTAGTGAAGGCCAACACACTTACGATTATTCATTAAGTTTACATAATGTTTCAAAACCATTGAGAATAAAAATCACTTTGTTGTATGAGTGACTTAATGCATGAAGTTTAAAATGAAGCAAATATATTAGTCAAGGCTCTTCCACATCAACATTTTTTTTTTGTAGTGTACGTTTTACAGTATCTTGGATTACATTAGCATTTTTAGCTCTACTGGTCAGAGACCAGAAGAGCTTATGCAATAGTAAGGTGTCCGTCGTCCGTCCGTCTGTCTGTCTGTCTGTCTGTCTGTCTGTCCGTCTGTCTGTAAACAATTTTTCAAAACGCTACTCCTCCTACAGTTATGGTCCGATTTCAATATAACTTGGCACACAAGTAGACTACACTAAGATACATAATTTAGTGCATCGGTTTTTGATTTCGATGGACGGTGTTGCCATGGTTACTAAAAATAGAAATTTCTGTGAAATTTCTTTAAAACGCTACTCCTCCTACAGTTTTGGTCCGATTTCAATATAACTTGGCACACAAGTAGACTACACTAAGATACATAATTTAGTGCATCGGTTTTTGATTTCGATGGACGGTGTTGTCATGGTTACTAAAAATAGAAATTTCTGTGAAATTCCTTTAAAACGCTACTCCTCCTACAGATATGGTCCGATTTCAATATAACTTGGCACACAAGTAGACTACACTAAGATACATAATTTAGTGCATCGGTTTTTGATTTCGATGGACGGTGTTTTCATGGTTACTAAAAATAGAAATTTCTGTGAAATTCCTTTAAAACGCTACTCCTCCTACAGTTTTGGTCCGATTTCAATATAACTTGGCACACAAGTAGACTACACTAAGATACATAATTTAGTGCATTGGTTTTTGATTTCGATGGACGGTGTTGCCATGGTTACTAAAAATAGAAATTTCTGTGAAATTCCTTCAAAACGCTACTCCTCCTACAGTTTTGGTCCGATTTCAATATAACTTGGCACACAAGTAGACTACACTAAGATACATAATTTAGTGCATCGGTTTTTGATTTCGATGGACAGTGTTGCCATGGTTACTAAAAATAGAAATTTCTGTGAAATTCCTTTAAAACGCTACTCCTCCTACAGTTTTGGTCCGATTTCAATATAACTTGGCACACAAGTAGACTACACTAAGATACATAATTTAGTGCATTGGTTTTTGATTTCGATGGACGGTGTTGCCATGGTTACTAAAAATAGAAATTTCTGTGAAATTCCTTCAAAACGCTACTCCTCCTACAGTTTTGGTCCGATTTCAATATAACTTGGCACACAAGTAGACTACACTAAGATACATAATTTAGTGCATTGGTTTTTGATTTCGATGGACGGTGTTGCCATGGTTACTAAAAATAGAAATTTCTGTGAAATTCCTTTAAAACGCTACTCCTCCTACAGTTTTGGTCCGATTTCAATATAACTTGGCACACAAGTAGACTACACTAAGATACATAATTTAGTGCATCGGTTTTTGATTTCGATGGACGGTGTTGCCATGGTTACTAAAATAGAAATTTCTGTGAAATTCCTTTAAAACGCTACTCCTCCTACAGTTTTGGTCCGATTTCAATATAACTTGGCACACAAGTAGACTACACTAAGATACATAATTTAGTGCATCGGTTTTTGATTTTGATGGACGGTGTTGCCATGGTTACTAAAAATAGAAATTTCTGTGAAATTTCTTTAAAACGCTACTCCTCCTACAGTTTTGGTCCGATTTCAATATAACTTGGCACACAAGTAGATTACACTAAGATACATAATTTAGTGCATCGGTTTTTGATTTCGATGGATTGTGTTGCCATGGTTACTAAAAATAGAAATTTCTGTGAAATTCCTTTAAAACACTACTCCTGCTACAGTTTTAGTCTGCTTCTAATATAATTAGGCATACAAGAAGACTATACTAAGATACATAATTTATTGCATTGGTTTTTGAATTCGATGAACAGTGTTGCCATGGTTACTTAAAATAGAAATTTCTGTGAAATTCCTTTAAAACGTTACTCCTCCTACAATTTTGGTCTGATTTCAATCTAATTTGGCACACAGTTAGAATACACTACGATACATAATACGTATTTCTGTTTTTTTTATTTGGGTGAGTGGTGTTGTCATGGTTACCGGTACTAAAAATAGAAATTTCCGTGAAATACTTTCAAAACGCTACTACTCCTAATTTTCATTTGATTTCAATATAACTTGTCACAAAAGTAGACTACATTAAGATACATAATTCTATTTATTGTTGCATGTTGCAATGTTTCAAATCCAAGTGCTACTTTTCTTTTGTTATACAAACAGACCAGTAGAGCTACTGTCTCATCAGAGACTTCTGGTTACTTTTTCATTGATGACGTAGATCTTAAGTGTTTACTTCTGTTGATTTACTTAATACACTTAATTTGTTTGTTAGGTTTATACTGAGTGGTCTGCCAAGTTTGGAGGACAGCTTGGAAAGAAGGTGGTCCTTCTTACGGGGGAAACTGGTACAGATCTCAAATTGTTAGCTAAGGTAAGGGGCACCTGTGCAGAAGCAAAGATAAATTTCTCTTACAAAATATTGTTAAGTTATTGTTGATAGCTTGTGTAGGCTGCAGAAATATAAAGGTATTGTGCATATACCTGTCAGACCTCAAAATACTGTGTAAAGTTTAAAAGAGACAGATACTTAAAAGGAGCAGTGAGTGGTGGGAATTTTTCATCATGTTTACCATTGTGTTTGAACATAACTCTGATACTTTGAGGACCTACATGTAGTAATAACTGACTGTGTAATTTACAGGGAAACATTATCATCAGTACTCCAGAGATCTGGGATGTGTTGTCAAGACGATGGAAGGTCAGAAAGAACGTACAAAGTGTCAACCTCTTTGTGGTGGATGAACTTCATCTGATTGGTCAGGAAGTTGGGGTCAGTAGGTCATGAATAAAAATACAGTATTTTCTTAACATTAGTGAAATTTAATCTGTATGTTTTATCAATTTCTTTCCAATCAACATAAGAATTTTACACTATCTGCCCACAACAGTGCCATTAACGTAAAGTTTCAAGTGTTTTTATAAAAGTGTACATATGAATAATAATATTTAATGAGTGGGCCCTGTTTATCTCCAACATGCATGTATATACATGTACATGTATATATACATGTTCACATGTATATATACATGTTCATGCAGCGATTTTTTTCTACCCATTGGGAAAGGGTCCGGTACCGATTCAATTGGGAAAAATAGCTTCGAAGTAGAACACAGTTACGGAGTGACAGTAGAATTTTCTGTCATTTAAACAAATGAAACGTATTTTGCATTTATTCCAACCTCATTACCTATTACTCCGTGTTTTAAAGAATAAACAACAGATATTTATTGTTTTTCGTATCAATGTCCCTTTTTCACATTTGTCAAAATGTATGACACTACACTGTCTAAACCACAGTTCCGGCCATATTACGACATCTCTACTTTCGATTTAAGCGGAAGTGAAACAATTAGTCAACTTGTACAATGTTTCATATAAAAAAAGAAGTACGATGTCATCGTAGTCTGTTGCTTGACAGTTGAATTGGGAATTTTTAGTCTCAAATTGGGAAAAATTAACGTTTTTAGCTCACCTGAGCTGAAAGCTCAAGTGAGCTTTTCTGATCACATTTTGTCTGTAGTCCGTCTGTCTGTCCGTCTGTCTGTCCGTCTGTCCGTCCGTCTGTAAACTTTTCACATTTTCAACTTCTTCTCAAGAACCACTGGGCCAATTTCAACCAAACTTGCCACAAAGTATCCTTGGGTAAAGGGGATTCAAGTTTGTTCAAATGAAGGGTCACGCCCTCTTTCAAGGGGAGATAATTAGGAATTACTGAAAAAATAATGGCATCATTTAAAAATCTTCTTCTCAAGAACCATAGGGCCAGGAAAGATGAAACTCATGTGGAAGCATCCTTAGGTAGTGTACATTCAAGTTTGTTCAAATCATGACCCCCGGGGGTAGGGCGGGGCCGCAATGGAGGATCAAAGTTTTACATAGAAATATATAGGAAAAATCTTTAAAAATCTTCTTCTCAAGAACAGCAAAGCCATGGTGAGTCATATTTATATGGAAGCATCCTGAGGTAGTGTAGATTCAAGTTTGTTCAAATCAAGACCCCCGGGGGTAGGGCGGGGCCGCAATGGAGGATCAAAGTTTTACATAGAAATATATAGGAAAAATCTTCTTCTCAAGAACAGCAAAGCCATGATGAGTCATATTTATATGGAAGCATCCTGAGGTAGTGTAGATTCAATTTTGTTAAAATCATGACCCCCGGGGGTAGGGCGGGGCTGCAATGGAGGATCAAAGTTTTACATAGAAATATATAGGAAAAATCTTTAAAAATCTTCTTCTCAAGAACAGCAGAGCCATGATGAGTCATATTTATATGGAAGCATCCTGAGGTAGTTTAGATTCAAATTTGTTCAAATCATGACCCCCGGGGGTAGGGCGGGCCACAATGGAGGATCAAAGTTTTACATAGAAATATATAGGAAAAATCTTTAAAAATCTTCTTCTCAAGAACAGCAAAGCCATGATGAGGCATATTTATATCGAAGGATCCTGAGGTAGTGTAGATTCAAGTTTGTTCAAATCATGACCCCCGGGGGTAGGGCGGGGCCACAATGGAGGATCAAAGTTTTACATAGAAATATATAGGAAAAATCTTTAAAAATCTTCTTCTCAAGAACAGCAAGCCATGATGAGTCATATTGATATGGAAGCATCCTCAGGTAGTGTAGATTCAAATTTGATCAAACCATGGCCTCTGGGGGTAGGGCGGGGCCGCAATGGAGGATCAAAGTTTTACATAGAAATATATAGGAAAAATCTTTAAAAATCTTCTTCTCAAGAACAGCAAAGTCATGATGAGTCATATTTATATGGAAGCATCCTGAGGTAGTGTAGATTCAAGTTTGTTCAAACCATGACCCCCGGGGGTAGGGCGGGGCCACAATGGAGGATCAAAGTTTTACATAGAAATATAAAGGAAAATGTCTTCTGATGAAGAACTGCAAACCATGATTAGTCATTTTGATATGGAAGCATCCTCAGGTAGTGTAGATTCAATTTTGTTCAAATGATGACCCCCAGGGGTAGGGTGGGGCCCAATGGGGGATGGAAAGTTTTACATAAGAACATATAGAAAAAATGTTTCTTCTCAAGAACAGAAAAGCTATGTTTAGTCATATTGATATGGAAGCATCCTCGGGTAGTGTTGATTCAAGTTTGTTCAAACCATGACCCCCGGGGGTAGGGCGGAGCCACAATGGAGGATCAAAGTTTTACATAGAAATATAAAGGAAAATATTTTCTTCTGAAGAACAGAAAAGCTATGTTTAGTCATATTGATATGGAAGCATCCTCAGGTAGTGTAGATTCAATTTTGTTCAAATGATGACCCCCAGGGGTAGGATAAGGCCCAATGGGGGATGGAAAGTTTTACATAAGAACATATAGAAAAAATATTTCTTCTCAAGAACAGAAAAGCTATGTTTAGTCATATTGATATGGAAGCATCCTCAGGTAGTGTAGATTCAAGTTTGTTCAAATGATGACCCCTGGGATAGGGAGGAGCCACAATGAGGGATCAAATTTTTACAAAGGAATATATGGGAATTTTTTTAAAAAAATCTTCTCAAGTACAACAAAGCCATTTGTTATATTGACATGGAAGCATCATCAGGTAGTTTAAAATTCAAGCCATTTAAGCCCCCCCCCCCCCCCCCCCCCCCGGTCTTTTCAATACTGAACTGATTGTGCTTTTGCTTAGCCAATGTGCTCAGGTGAGCGATGTGGCCCATGGGCCTCTTGTTTGGCATTGGGAATGGTACTGTTGATCGGTACCAGTTATATAAGGAAAAAAAATGCTGTCATGGTTATCAATTTTGTGTTTTGAGCTTTTACTCATGTAACTGGAACAGTTGTAGATGCTTGCTTTAAATTCATGTAGATTTTGAGTCCTTGTTATACATAATTTATGTAATTTTTACAGCCCGTGTTGGAGGTGATCTGCTCCAGGATGCGGTACATGTCTGCTCATTTAGAACACACCATTCGTGTGGTGGCTCTTAGCTCCTCCATATCTAATGCCAAGGATGTCTCCCAGTGGCTGGGCTGTACCCCCACAGGATTCTTCAACTTCCATCCCAATGTTAGGCCCGTTCCACTGGAGCTACACATACAGGTAAGGAGAGACAGATCTTTCCATCATGTCAGAGGTGTACATGAATGAATTAGAAAAAAAAGGATATCACTGTGTATGCTTCATTTTGCTAGGGAGAGATGGAGCTCTGATTTGCTAGTTGAATCAGAACACTAGAATTCAAATTGCTTTCTACCTTCATGAATGTGCAAGTAAATGTATAAATTAAAGTATCTTTGTAATATTAAAGTAGCCCAGGTTGAAAATTTCTGAAATGTAAGTGTATAAACATGAAAAATAAGAAAATTAAGAGACTGAATAGTTAAATTGAATTTTTTCTTTTTAGGGTTTGAACATCAGCCACAATCTCTCCAGAATCATTGCTATGGCGAAGCCCACATATCAAGCCATCCTTCGTCATTCTCCACGGAAGCCAGTCATTGTGTTTGTGCCATCCAGAAAACAGACACGCTTGACTGCTATTGACATTTTGACCTTTAGTGCTGCAGAAATTCAGGTTGATTCTGAGACACCGAGGAGTCGTTTCCTTCACGTGAAGGAGGAGGACATTCAGCCATTCCTGGAGAAAATATCAGACAAGGTACGGGATCAGAAAAAAAAGTGTCTGCTTCCCTGTTGTAATTTTGTATGCATAAGCTTGTGTTGTAAATGGGGTATGTTTATGTCTTCGTTGTGAATGAAATTTTCCAGATCATTTTATTTACTCTGGAGAAGATTATCTGAGTTGTCACTTAAATATTTCATCAGTCTGTTATTACACCTGCTTTAAGATACATGTACATGTATCTCAGGTCAAGAGTAGTGATATTAACCTTGTGTCTAAGAATGGATTTTCTAATTAAAAACAACATCGTGAAAATGTAAAAGAGCTTTCATACAATTTTAAAAGCATAATATAGTGGTATCTTACAAAAGATTTCTTAATTAATAATTTCTAGACTTTTTAGTTTAAAATATGTTGCACAACAAAACGGTGATGTATGAAGTAAAGTATTTAATTTGTAGACTCTGAAGGAGACTCTGAGTAACGGTGTGGGGTATCTACACGAGGGTCTGTCTGACATTGAGAGGAAGGCGGTGGAGAACCTCTTTTCCAGCGGTGCTGTACAAGTGCTGGTGGCCTCCCGGAGTCTGGCCTGGGGCATGAGTGTCTCTGCCTACCTGGTCATTGTCATGGATACACAATACTATGATGGAAAAACTCACTCGTAAGTTTCTACTATAACTTCAAAAATAATTTGCTAACAAGTCAGTTTTGAAATCAAAACACATAAATACAGGACAAATTTTGTTGAAAAAACAATGGCTTTGAAATTTGTTTTTATGTCATGTCAGTTTCCATGTATATCGTGATGATAATGTTTCATATTGATATTGAGGAATACTGATAAGGTATAAAAGAAATTTGATAAGGACTGATGTTAGTCACTGTATTCGTAGGAATTTAATATTTTGATTAGACAGTTATTAGAAAATTCTCAGACACTTCACATTATTGTATACAAAAAGATACACCAAGTCATTGAAATGATTTATTAAACAGGTATGAAGACTACCCTGTTCCTGACGTTTTACAGATGATTGGACGAGCCAACCGACCCCTTCTTGACCAGGAAGGTAAACAGATATGTTCATACTCTTAGCATAGAAGGCAGATTACTTAAATCAGACCATGAGTTCTTCATATTTAAATTCTTGATTGACTACTGGATATACCTGTATGTCCATAATTATTTACGATGTATATTTCTAACACTTGGGAAATGCTGTGTTTTGTAATATGTCAAACCCATATTGAAGAAGACCCAATTTTACAGGTAAAGCTTTGATCATGTGCCAGAGTTCCAAGAAAGAGTTCTTCAAGAAATTCCTCTATGAACCGTTACCTGTTGAGGTAAATTTGTTTTAAAGTTAAAAGCTTTTTTTCCATTTTATACTCTGGATTTCTTCAATGAATTGGACTGCATTTAACTTTGATATTGTTTTACAGAGCCATTTAGACCACTGTTTACATGACCACTTCAATGCTGAAGTGGTAACCAAGACAATAGAAAACAAACAAGACGCAGTGGACTACTTGACATGGACCTTTCTGTACAGAAGAATGACCCAGAACCCGAACTATTACAACTTACAAGGTACTAAAAAGTTCATAAATTTTCATACACTCAGAAGTTAGCACAACCTTCCTCGTCAACTGATTAGTATAATCAATAATTACAGACATACATGTACATGATAGGCATTGTGAAACCCAGGGTGTAACATTTTATTTTAAAAAATCTTACAGAGGTCAAAAATATTTTTGACTGCCTTATTTTTGATTCAACCTAACTAAGCCAATATCATCAGTATTTCCCATTGATATTTTATCAGATATTCTGTGATGTTTTATTTTAATTGTGTTGATACATCTGCTTCTTTTAGGTGTCACACACAGACATTTGTCTGATCACCTGTCTGAGCTGGTGGAGAATACAGTATCTGACCTGGAACAGTCCAAGGTAAAAACTCACCCTAGCTGGTACAAATAGATACATTTAACTGACTAAAAACTCGCCTCAACTGATAAAAATAGATAACTGGCTACAAAATCACCTCAGCTGGTACAAATAATAAACTGGCTCACCTCAGCTGGTACAAGTACATGTAGATAACTGGCTAAAAACTTGCCTCAGCTGTCAGGTTATTTGGTGATCAGCTTTCCTTTCAACTGTTAATACAGGAATATTAAAAATACACATGCAGTTGAAATGGAAAACAAACAGCTCTTTAAGAAATCTGCTAGCAGTGAAACCGTTTCAAACGTAGAACTACAGAGCTGGTTAAAAAATAAAGTTATCACTGAACATTGGAAGAGTTACTGACCTTCCGTTATTTGAAGTGATTTATTTATCTTTCTTGACAGTGTATCAGCATTGAAGATGAGATGGACATGACTCCATTGAACTTGGGCATGATTGCAGCATACTATTACATCAACTACACCACTATAGGTCAGTCATATTTATGTAATTCATTCATAAAGCGTATGAGCTAAAGTATTTTATTGCAGGTACAAGTTGTTAAAATACCTTGTAAATTGTGCCCTGGTTTTGAAAAGTACATGTATATTATGCACCATCTGTAGTGCATGAATTTAAATTTTTGTATTTTTCACGAATACTTTCTGTTTTATAGTGTAATAATGAATTTCTAAACATGATGTCCTAAAAAAGTGATTTACTTCTTGTACAGAAACCTTCAGTTTGTCACTGAACAACAAGACTAAGATTAAGGGGCTCCTGGAGATCGTATCTAACGCTGCCGAGTACGAGGATGTTCCCATCAGACATCATGAGGAAGCCATCTTGAAATCTGTAAGTCGGATCTTAATATTTTACGATAGAAGAAAAGCATGAAAATCTGATTGTTATTTTCTTTATACATGTATCACCTTGAGAAAAATAAATTGTGGAGGGAATTTTTGGTAACTACCTTGTACCTACTGTATATCAGTTGTTAAAGGTGCTTGGACACAGATTTGAAGTCAATATTTTCTCAAATTTTCTGTTAATTTCATGACTTATATGTTGCTATAGCATTTCATACTAAAATATAATAAAAATCTTATTTCATCTTGAAGTTATTGAAACTTCAGATTTCTGGACGCATTTGATTGACACATTCTTGCACTTTCAGAAATTTTAATTTTATTCTTAATACTTAGGAAAAGTGGAAATTTTGTTGTGTATTAATGAAAAATATTAAAACTATAATCCACAAAATTCAGAGTAGAAATGTTCGAAAGCAAAACCCACTCACAGTATTGTCAGTCCGTGCTCAATGGTGTGTGCAGACTTTAACAATTGAACACACCCGGTGAATCGTAAACATTAACAATAACAGAGCTCGTGCCCTGTTTACAAAAACAGTTTACGTTTCACGGGTGTATTCAATTTGTTAAACTCTGTACACATCACTGAACACGGGCTGATGATATTAGTGAGGGGGTTTGCTTTCGCACATTTCTACTCTGAATTTTCTGGATTATAGATGTAATGTTTTTCATTAATACACAACAAAATCGCTTCTTTTCTTAAATATTAAGGATAAAGACAAAATTTGTAAAAGTGCAAGGATGTGTTAATCAAACGCGTCCAGGAATTCGTAGTTCCAATAATTTCCAGATAAAATAAGTTTATAATTACATTTTCGTGTGAAATGCTATTGCAATATATAAGTCATGATATTATACAGAAAATTTGAGAAAATATTAACTTCAAATCTGTGTCTAAGCACCTTTAATGTTAATAGACATATTTTGATATTTTGTAAATCACCATTTGAATTGCCTGCAAAGATATAACTTGTCTAAAGATCAACTCAATCCAATTTGCTAATTCCAGCTGGCCAGCCGTCTGCCGAACAAACTGTCCAATCAGAAATATAACGATCCTCATGTAAAGACAAACCTCCTACTCCAGGCTCACCTTTCACGGATGCAGCTGTCGGCGGAACTCCAGTCTGATACTGAGGACATACTCAGCAAGGTAAACAGTATTAGTGGGGGATGTGCATGTATATTGAATATTTTGTTTGTTTGTGGGGGTGGGGGTGGGGGAGGGTGGGTGGGGGTTTAAGATGGACCTAGAAAGTCAAACTGAATTTCGGAATTTAGGAAAGTCATTTGTTTTCATTTATACATAGAATATCAAGATATGAGAGATGTGTTTATGTTCATTTGCATGTAGAGTTGTATATAAAAAATGAAAAAAAAGTTTAATCACTTGATAACATAAACATCACTTTCATCAGTGTAGTCAGTGTAATTGCTTTTTGTATATTAAATATATACATTGTATCTTTTGTCTTTTATTAAGGCTATCCGCCTGATTCAGGCCTGTGTGGACGTACTGAGTAGTAACGGCTGGCTAAGCCCTGCCCTAGCGGCTATGGAGCTGGCTCAGATGGTGACCCAGGCCATGTGGGGCAAGGACTCGTACCTGAAACAGCTCCCTCACTTTACACAGGAGCTTATCAAGAAGTGTCAGGAAAAGGTAAGAATTCTGTCCAAAGACTACATCTCCTGCACCCCTCTTTTATGTTCCCTAGCACATTACTAATTGTAATTTTGAACATTATAACAGTGCTTCAGAGGAGAAGAAATTTTAAACTACATGTAGTTTGAAGATGATAGAGAAAAATTTGTACAATCTAGTTCATTTTACCAGGAACATGATTAATCCAGAGTGCTTGTTTTGTAGAAAATTGTAATTCTGAACATTATAAATGATTTAGGAAAGAAAATATTTTAAAAATAAATTTGAATGAAGGCGAGAGGAAAATCTGTCAAATCCAGTTCATTTTACCATTTTGTAGAAAATCGAGAGCATCTTTGATGTGATGGAGATGGAGGATGATGATAGAAATGAACTCCTACAGCTGACCGAGGAACAAATGGCCGACGTGGCCAGGTTCTGTAACAAGTACCCCAACATTGAGATGTCATTCGAGGTCCAGGAAAAGGAAAGTCTTCACAGGTAAGGAGAGGGAACTTTGTGAAACACTGTATGTTTTAGTTCTTAAACAGCAAAAGACAAAAGTAAAGTAGAAAACTCTATACATGCATTACTTGTGTATGAAAGGGAAAAGGTTGGAATTTTAATAATTATTTGAATTCCTGGAGTTTACGGAGATTGGTTTGTTGATTAATACGTGTATGTTTTGTGATGTTGATTAACCAATATCTATCTGTTTTCAGTGGTTCCCCGGTCAATGTACTTGTGTCCCTCGAGAGGGAAGATGAATTAGTGGGGCCAGTAGTGGCACCATTCTTTCCTCAGGTGAGTGAAAAAATAGAGAACGTGTTGTATTTTCACTTGTAAAAATTGCCAATAAATTCAAGTCTGAATAACTTGGTGAGAATGAATAATTATTCATCATATAATAAAATCTGAAAAAATTCTAATATAAATGTCAAAAATAATTTTGATTCTCTCATTAGAAACGTGAGGAAGGTTGGTGGGTAGTGATTGGGGACAACAAATCTAACTCCCTCCTGTCCATCAGAAGATTGACCTTGCAACAGAAGGCCAAGGTCAAACTGGACTTTGTGGCCCCTTCTCCTGGTCACTATAACTACACCATCTTCTTTATGAGTGATGCCTACATGGGATGTGACCAGGAATACAAGTTCAGCATTGATGTGAAGGAAGGAGATAGTGAAAGTGAAAGTGATAGTGATTAGATCAGGTGATTGTAAAGTGAAAGTAACAAATGTGACAGAAAAAAATAAGGAAAAAATACATTTAAAAACAATGTACAGAATAGGAAAGTATTAAAAGCAAGGATTCTTTAAAATTAATAATATAATTGAAGGATTCTAAAGATATAGAGTTTTGAGATTGGAACATGATGATGATCTATAAGCTACGTGTCATACTAACTTATATCAGCAACTATTTTTGTTTGTTGCCGTATATGTTGGTTTTGTACAATATGTATTTCATTTTGCAGTCATTGTCACCATTTTCAGTTAAAAGTCAATATATTTTTAACATTATTGGAGACTTTAAAAGCCTCCCATAGAATATAAACATACAGTAAATTGATATGAATTTCTTTTTTTTTTTCATTATCTTTATGAAAGAAGCAATGGTATTTTGATAGTCCTTTTAAGTATTTCTTATCATTATTTTCAACACCAAGTAATTGCATCATTTGATCATAATCCTAGTTTCCATTAAATGAGTGTTACAAATCTATGAGTGCTTATATTTTCATATAACCAAAGCATATCAAGGTAATTTCTTTGACAAGAAATGAGAATTTGAATTACAATTTTAGTGTCTTGATTCCACAAAGTTACAGTAAGTGTATGTTGTCTATAAACCTTTGAACAACGTGACCTTCTTTCAAGAACCAAGGACAATTCACATAACACACAAGTTTGATATGATAATGAAATTGTAAAACAGTGATTGTCAATGAAATATTCTCCTAATAACCAGAAATAATACTTCAGATAGGATCATGATGATGGTCTGTGAGCCGCACAATATACTAACTAGAATCAACAACTATTTCTGTTTCTTGTCCCTATACGTTGGTTTTGTATATTATGTATTTCATTTTGCAGTCCTGTGGCCATTTTCAGATAAAAGTCAAAATATTTTTAACATTGTTAGAGACTTTTAAAGCCTCCCATGGAATTTACATGTACAGTAAATTGATATAAATTTCTTTTTTATTTCATCATTTTTATGAAAAAAAGCAGTGGTATTTTGATAGTTAATCATATAAAATACGTTTCTCATTATTACCAACACAGTTTGAAATATACATGCATTTTGTCTTTTGATCGCAATCCCATTTTCCATTAAATGAGTGATACAGTACAGATCTATGAGAGCTTATATTTTCATGTTTTAAATGGAACGGAAGCATATGAAGCTTATTTCATGGACGATAAATGAGAATTAGAATTCAATTTCTATTCACTTGATTTCACAAGGTTACATAAGCACATGTATTTTTCATAAGTGTGTTTTCCGCAAACTCTTGAACAATATGACTTTTCTTCAAGTACCAAGGACAATTCACATAACACACAAGTGTGATATGATAATGAAATGATGAAATATTCTCCAGGACTAATTACCAGAAATAAAAGTTCAGTAATTAACATGCTATAGAGGGGCTAATTTAAGTTACACATATCTTGCTAATACTTAGGAATATATAGGAAAACTTAAAATGCAAGCATCATGGTGTTTTAATTTATTTATTTATTTTATTTTGAAGATCATGCTTGTATGTGTTAAAGGGAAAAAATTTGAAATATAAGTCTTTAATACAGTTTTAATGCATTCTGTGTGAAGTATTACATTAATCTCTCTTAGGTAATGTTTTAATCACGATACATAATTTGTTCACTTGGTCTGTGGATTCTAAAAAAAATCTCGATCTGATTGACCTTGCAACAGAAGGCGAAGGTCAAATGGCCTTGGCTCGTTCAACTAAGGGAAAACATTATTGTATGTAAAGGATATAGAAATATAAAACAATGCAATTCACAGTTAATAAATCTGCGAATGTTGTGAATCATTAATTTTGATTGATAACAAAATATGAGAATTCTGTATACATATGGATATCAAACTAGAATTTAATGATTTTTAATGAAGATTATATTTCATAAAGCTGTTGTATGTCAAATTGATGAATTCAATCAATATTTATGCAATTACTACATTTTGTACTGAAACACTTTGACAAGTCCTTCGGTGTATCCCACCCACAGTGTAGACTTGTACAGGGACAGTGAGACTGGATAGTTCACTTTCTTGTCTGTCAGTAAGAACTTCAAAAACTCCCCGTCAGGACTCAGCAGATGGATCTGGTTGTTGTTTAGGTCAGTAACAAGGACGTTACAGAGGGAGTCACACACTACATCAGCTGGACTAAAGTCAAATGTCAGGTTTTGTCCATGGTAAACTGACTTAATGTGACCAGAGGGAGACATAATCACTAGATCACCTGTAGTGTCACTTGTATGGTTCACAACACAGATATCACTGTAACTGTTCTGTGTGACTCTGTATGGCAATGTAAACAGTCTGGTGTGACCGTCCTCCTGGTACTCATACTCATGGATGACATCACCTGTCACTGTGATGTGTCTCACCAGACGTCTGCTGTGTGACTCTAATTTGTAATCATCTGATTCCTTTTCCCTCAAGGTGACTAATAATCCACCGTCCACTGACTGGCAGATTCCTACTGGTACCAGTGGATCTGTACTGACTACTGTAGAGACAGATCCTGGTGGTGACAGACAACGGATGGAATTGTTACCACCATCAGTGAAATAAACATCACAGGTATCAGTCATACACATGTCATTAGGATCAATACTAAATTTATGTTCTTTTATGCCTTGTTGATTGACTTTTTCCATATATTCTGATTTAAATTCAATTATGTAACATTGATCTTCACTGAATGTCTCCAAAGCATATATTAAGTTATCTCCATATGTAAATGAGCTTGTTTGCGTCAAACCAATATCATCTAAATCCAATGTCTTTCCAACCAAAGATTGCAGTAAGTCATCATTGATTTCACCTCTAGTGAACCTCACTGAATGTTCACAGTTTGTCATAAGAACCTCCAATTCAGACAGCATATTTGTCAGTTCTCTGTGGTTGTCAATCAAGCTGTAATCTGACATGGTGCTGTTGTTTTCCTTCATGAATTCCACTGTCTCAACAATTACTCTCTTCTTCTTCTCTAACTCAGATTTCAAAAGGTTCAATTGATTATTCTTTTTAACCATATTGTCTCTCAATGTTTTCTCTTGGGGTTTTCTGATTTCTGTTAGCCTGGTCATTATCTCATCAAAATGCTTTTGAAGCTTTTTAATTTCAGAGTCACACAGTTCTTTATTTTCTGTGATCCGTTTTGACGACTCCTTTATCTTCTCATCAATCCAAGGCAGATTCTCTTCCTTGATCCTTTTTAAAAATTTAAGTAGACCTCTCCTCCTTTCGGTGGCCGCCGTCGGTAAAGTGTTCCAATCATGATCTCTATGATCTGTTTTTGCACACTTGGCACAGATAAATTCATCACAGTCCTCACATATCATATCAATAGGTAACTCATGGGATTTACACATTTCAATGTGCTCTTGTGGCGAGCCCAATGGATATTTTTTGATGGTATTGACAGCCATGTTTGTCAGGTGTAGCTTACCAGTGACCTACTTTTTAGTGTGCATGTTAGATATATGTAAGGTATGGTGGCATATTTCTGCCCCTATATGCAAGATAAATTATGTTAACATGCAAGATAATTTTGTCTATATGCTAGAAAGATATGTTAAAATTCAAGATACAAATCTTATTAGAGAATATAATTTTAATATGAGTAAATTTACTGACTAACGCCAGTATCTGACATCATACTTGCAAGATGCAACAAAACTATGTTGACGTGCAACTTATATTTATGTTAACATGCAAGATAGTCATGTCAACATGCAAGATAATTATGTTTACATGCAAGATATTTCTGTCAACATGCAATTTATTTATGTTAACATGCAACATAATTATGTAGACATGCAACTTAATATTTATGTCAACATGCAAGATATTTATGTTAACTTGTCAACATGCGAGTTATATTTTAACATGCAAGAAATTTATGTCAACATGCAAGATAATAAGTTGCATACCAGCATACATATCTCGCATGTTGACATAATTAACTCGCAGCTAACATAATTATCTTGCATGTTGACATGAATTAGTTGCATGTCGACGTATTTATCTTGCATGTTGACATATATAAGTCGCATATCTACATAATTATCTCGCATGTTAACATAAATAAATCTCATGTCTACATAATCATGTTGAACCTTGCATATATGACGTCTGATACTCGCGTTAGTAAGTAAATTTACCCATATTTAAATTATATTTCTTAAAAAGAATCGTAACTTGCATGTCAACATATTTATTTTGCATGTTGACATAAATTTGTCGCATGTCTACATAATTGTGTTGCATGTTAACATGAAATATATGGAGATAACGAACAGTATTCAAGCTCAAAAGTCCATTAAACATTACAAAATAGGTGCAGAGCAAACGCGGGCCTCCAAAACATCAGAGGTGGGATCAGGTGCCATGGAGGAGTGAGCATCCCCTGCCGACCGGTCACACCCGCCGTGTGTTCCTTGTCATGATCGGGAAATAACGGAAAAATCCGTCGACAATTCAGTGTGTAAATAATGGCCTAACAATTAGTATGAAAAACGTCAGTCAGCATTTGACTCAATGATAAATTATATTTGCTGACAAGGTCATTGTATCGACCATAGATTTTACGAAATGATGACTTTAAACGAGGCTGCTGATATTCTTATTTCATCAACTTTTTTGTCAATAATTTACCTCGTTTTAGAAATTGTACATACGTAGAGCATGCTCTTGCGTATCGAATCAACTGAGAGATATAAACCCAGTATGCAGGTGATGAAGGTATATTGCTGCATAAGTAAGGGAAGTTGACGATTGAAAAGTTAAAGTCATCACGTTTATCATAAAGCTTTGTTGTTAGATTACCATTATAACGTCTTTTTCAAGTAAAATATCCAAATATGAAACATATGTGTCAGACTCTGAAGTATCTTTTATCTCAAGCTCACCGGGGTATATCGTATCGACATAAGAATGGAAATAATTGTTGATTGACAATACGTTGTCGATATATCTAAATGTCGAGTTGAAGGCCACAGCAAGTGTTTTCTTCTTATCACGTAAAAGATATTGGACAAATTCTGCTTCATATGAATACAAAAAAGGTCTGCTAATAACGGGGCGCAATTGGTACCCATGGGAATTCCAATAGATTGTTGGAAGACCTGGTCTCCAAAAACCACATAGATATTGTCAATCAGAAACTCAAGCATCTTTTTAATGTCAACTTCGGAGTACTTGTGTGTACAATCAGAATGTTTTTTAACAAAATAATTTTGCAAATGACCAGTGACAAGGTAAGTAAATCTACGAGTTCCATTTTAATTGAAAAAGCAGCTGTCAATGATATCAAAAGGTCTGGATTTTAATTTATCGTGGGGAATGGTTGTGTATAAAGTTGAAAAGTCGTAAGTTTTTAAGCTGTTGATTTTGGTAAAATCTTGTGATTTCAAATTTTCCAAAAGTTCCTTGGGATTTTTAAGTATCCACATCTGATTTACACCACTTCTCGAATATATTGTTGCACAGTACTCTTGAAGTTTCCCCTTGACTACTGTTAATATCTTAGTGAGGAGTAAAGAAAGAGGCTTAATTTGGTTGAACATTTACTGGAACCCGCTATGTATCTTTGTAAGGATTTTTATGAAGTTTCGGAATCCAATATAGATATGGTAATTCAAATTCATTTTGGTTGTTTGGAATATTAAAAATATTCAAAACTGACATATGATTTTGAAGAATTTCTTCCTTAAAAAAAGAACTATAAGTTGGATTACCACTTGTAGAATTAAATCCAAGTTCCTCTTAAATACATTTAATATAATGAGCCTTACAAACAAAGACAATGTTGTTACCTGCTTTGTCAGCAGGGACCAGTACGTACTGATCATGTAATCTATCTAATTCTTTTTTCACTTCTGGATTATTGAATACAGAAAGATAGATGGTTCTCATATTGCCCCTCAATCTTTTAATGTGTGATTTTAACATACATCTGATACATTTAATCCATTCTGACAAAGTGTAAAGGTCTTCTTTTTTCTTTAACAAAAGTTATCTTGCAAGTAGGGGCAGAAATATGTCACCAAGTTCAAGTTCATTTATTCACTCAAAACCATCTAAAATATATG